TCTTGTCAATATCAAATTAATTTTTACCACGCTCCTGGAAGCCTGTAACACCTGTAACTTGGTAACAACGCTGAATTGAAAATGCAAGCTTTGTACAACTGTTTTGACACACCACTCTGTGTTCCGTCCCTGCGAGTGTCCGTGCCCGATCTCGCAGCAGCTGTGCTTCAGCCACCAGCTCGGCCGGCAAGGTTCGCAGCACTTCCTGAAGGTGCGCCGGCAAGGCTCCAAAAAGCCAAACCAAAGGAGCAAACGTGAAGACATTTCAAGTGACGAGCTACGCTGATCTACCCTCCAGGCATGCGCTTGTGGTCCCGCCTCGGGTGCACTCAGCAGCACTTCTTCCCGCAGCAAGGGATCCAAAGACCTGCAGCGTGCGGTGGCTTGCAACCCGGCCAGTAGGTGCATTGAAACTGCAGGTCCAAAAGTATAAAATGTCTCCCATTGACTATGATGCCATCCTCATTGTGCGCCAAAAGTGTCAGGTCCGGACCTCAATGAGACTATTAAAACGATCAAGTCAACCAGCTTGGTGCAGAAGATTCCTTTGTTGAGCTTCTGTGTGGAAACCCGTTTCTATGAGAAAGACTTGTCAATTTGCCAGACGCACGCAATGAAGGAAGCATTGTCCATCTCATTGCTCTGAGGAGCCCTTCCTGGAGCAAACTGGCAGGATGACCCATGGCGGGAGCTGATGATGCATGTTTGAAGGGTTGTGCTTTTTGTTGCTGCTGCGTTGTGTGAAAACAAAGGACTTTATGGCCTTCAAGAGTTGTTCTTCTCGTGTGTCCAACACTTGAACCTGACAATTCAGTGGGTCCCAAGTCCTAAGCGTGAAGATTCCTCTTCTTTCGTTGCTACTGATAGAGGGTACCCGACCGACATTTCCAACAAAAGCATCCGTTGCTTCAGCGCCTTCTGGAGCTGCCTAGGCAGAACAGAGGCATGCCAACATTGGGAGCACGATTGCTGCAAGCAGGTGCTCTTGTTGGCGAGTATCAACTTGATATGTTTACAAGATTTGAGAAGGAAAGCGCTGAAATATCTTTTGTGCAAGGGATCATCAAAAAATACTGAGTAGAGACACGTGCACGGCTTACAAGACTATGACCTGCAGCCCACGAACAGGACAACACTATCTAAATAGCATCCCTTTCTCCACTATGGTTTCTGGAACAAATCCCGCACACCCACAAAGGCGGACCCTCGCAAGGAAAGGTATGCTAGTGTTCTACCTCAAGGCGTCCTTGCTCCTATTAAATAGCGATGCCCTTTGTTACTAGTAGCTTCTTGATACTAGTAGTAGGGCCAGCAGCTACTAGTCGCGTCCTTGCTCCTACATTTGATTGTTGCATTTGTATGCAGGCCTTAAAGCCTTAAATCCCCTCTGTATACTGTATTTACGGGAGGGCCACATTGCTCACTGCCTCACTTGATTGTGCGATCTTAATTCACATACCAGTACATGTCCAGTATCATCCAAGGGCAAACAACAAAACAAAGTAATCGCTTCTTTCAGATTCATAGTTTTGAAGGCGGCTGCGAACACAAATTCAGATTCCCAAGTACAATTGGATAGAGCAATGCCTGCAATATCCGTCATTATGCATCAGAAACCAGACCACAAATGGTTGAACAGCTACATCACTGGAATGAAGGAAGGGGGCAACCACAAGCTCTGCTATTTGAGACCATGGCTGGACTAGGCCGGGCTCTAAAAGAACAACTTTCATACCCGAGCCCAGTTCCAAGTTGAATCATGTACCCAATGTCCAGTCTCGATAGCGCTTGGCCCTGCCTGCTCACGATTTCTCGCCGCCTCTTCCCGCAGAACCTGTCAAAAGGGTTCTACGTGCTGTGTGATGAACAACAGGGGTCATGGACTGGGTGGAGGCAATCTTGAGGTCTCTCCATCAAGCTGAAACACTCAACGAGGCAACTGTATGGATTCTTGCCAGCACTTACCGTTGAAACTCTGCATGCAAAAGATACTCACCTCCATGGTCAAGTGGCATTGGCCAGGTGTGTTCAACAAAAGAGTCAGTTCACAAGAAGGCGAGCTTACTACCTTATATTCTCGCGTGATCTTGCCTGCACCTTTGCTGTGGAGCCAGGTGTAAGTGTGTAAGTGTAGGGTCCATCGGTCCGAAAGGTAATGGAGGGAGTGTCCATCCAGCGCAGCTCTGCACATCACATGTTCTGTTTGGCCTCTTCACGGATGTCGGGCGGCAAAGCTTCCAGCACAACTGCATCCTTGGTGATGACGATTCCCGACGTCCGATTGCAACGAGCCTTGCACCCTGACGATGTGTCTTGTGACAAGCAGTGACAACAACATTATGGCAGCTACCATAAGCAGTTTCGAAGAACTTCCAGTGCGTCACAAGCAAGATGGTTTGATGGCTTTTGCTAAAGCCATGGAAGCTGTGAAGTCCCAATGTCACTACGCCAGGTGATGGCTTTGGACGTTGAAACACCCCTACCTGGAGCACACAAGACATTCGATTCCATTGAGGCACAAACAATGTCTGCAGATCCTGCCTGAAGGAATCATGTCTCAATATGAAGTAGAATATGATAGAATATGCAGTCTATACCAGAATTGGAATGAATCAGGTTACAATTTTCTTGATTTCGCTGCAGCATCGTTCGTTTGAAATACGCATCTGTTTCAAGCAGGTTCACTCGTGGAGAGCTTAGGTTGCAGGGATACCTGAAGCATCAGGTGCCAAAAACTAGACCTTTGCCCAGGCCTGTTGCGCAGCATGGGGAGCCTGCCATCACATCCGGAAATGTGTTCTCTGCATCATCAATCAGGACAGCTGCGTATTGATTGGACATGCCCCTTCTACTATCGCTTGTGCATCCTGCTGCTTCTTCGGCAAGAAGGGCGAAGCGGCGAAGCCCAAGTAAAAGCTCAAAGGTTGAAATCAAGCTGTTCAGAGCTGGTTGGCAAAAACAACATGGCCCTGCAAAGGGGAACAACTTTAGCCAGCAGCTATACTTCTCCATGCCTGGGGAGTTTGCCGCAAGTGGTCTAGGCCTCAGTTGTGTTCGTGTTTGATCCACTCCAAGCCAACTGAGTGACCGCTTTGCACTCAGCTTTCACCGCTGTCCTCTGTTGACACTTCATCAACATACAGTACATGTTGCAAGCATGTGCAGCATTGATTGCTGTAGCCATGATTCGGTTCCCTTTACGTTGGCATCTCTGTTTAGCCGCAACTAAAGGCTCCCGATCCAAACTAATATTTTTTTTAAAAAAACCTACAACATGTTGAGAGCTTAAAACATAGCTTGCTGGTGTCCGGGCTGACTTGAGATACTTCAGCCATAACCACTGACGAGCGCATGTCCTGGTCAGCGCAAGTGGTTTCAGACAGTGGCTCAGAAGTTTGTTTGGAGCGACCCTCCATGGTCAGCCTCTCTTCCTACGGCCCTACCGATCGAAACACAAATCCCATTGAACAAGATCCTAAACTGCTAAGCTGGGCCGCGCTCAAACCTTGAGTCGCCAGCCAGCATCCTTCAAATCCACGGCCACCCTAGTCTGTCTTTCAGGTTCTGCTCTATCCTTCTAGAGGATCCATTCCTTTTCCTGCACCTCATAACCTTGCACAACATCTCTCTGCCTCTGGCAGGGCTGCTGCGACAGAGAGGTCAATACCGGCGGCTTGAAGGATGGCAGACTGTGAGCAGCCCAGCCTGAGCAGAGCTGCTTCCGAGACTTGTGGCCCGCCCGGTCAAAAACAAAGGGATGCAAAATCTTGCAAACAGCTTTGCTGGCGATGATTCTCAGAGACATGTTCTCTGAAACCACCAAGTTACCTTCGGGCAAGTCGTTCCAGCTCTGCAATGCCCAGGGCTTGTGCCGCGACCTCATCCTGCCAGCGCCAAACTGGACTTACAATACCTACAACTTCAACATACAGTCTCCGGATCATCAGGTGTATCGCTTGTACAGTAGTCTCTTTGCAATGTGGTGCTTCAATGAGATACTCATTAATGTGTGAGTGTATTCTTTATGCATAGTGCTGAGCTTCAACCCCCTTGGCTCTTTTTGTGGAGCGGTTACTCTATCAAGTGCTCTCCTATTAAAAAAGGGTGTGGTTTGCATTATGTTCATGCCGAATCCTTTGACAAGCTGCCACTGCTAGTCAATCTTATTTGACTTGCACCCCTTCAATCCCCATCTCCTGCGTTGGCTCTGCTGGAGCCGCAGGGGCTGCAGTAGGTGCCTCTGCGGGTGTCTCTGTGGCTGGTGGCGCGTCTGTCGGTGCTGTGGCATCAGCAGGTGCTGAAGGCGCCGAGGGAACCGTGGCCTCTGTGGGCAGAGAAGGCTCAGAGGACGCAGGCGCTGAAGGCGCCGAAGGCGCTGACGGTGCCGAAGGCGCGGAGGGCGCCGACGGCGCGGAGGGCGTTGAGGGTTCCGGTGGTGCCGGCGGTGCTGGAGCTGCGGGAGGAGGCGGCTGGATCGCCTGTCGAACAAACCAAGCCATGATCAAATGATCGAGTAAACATCGTCCGTCGTCCACAAACACTTGTCAAATAAAAACCTCCAACTGGTGATACTTATAAGTTATAAGTCCAACACTACCGATGCACCATGCCAAATCTTGAAGCTTCCAGACTCGGACGGCTCATTGCGAACAAGCAACACCGTGGGCGCCCTTGTCGCTCTTTTCCAAAGCCATTCCCCCACGGCCCCGTGGTAGCAGTCACTGCCCGGTAGTGGAGCTGCCCCGCAGCACAAGACACTCATTGCTTCTGTTATTTCACTTGGAAGGCCTACTTGCCCTCCAAACAAAGACCATCAAGAAAATATCGTTGTACCTAAAGAGTAGCTGTGGAGCAGGAATCCTTACATGAATCTTATTTCCATGGCGCTGGCTAGGAATTGCATTGGCTCGACATGGCAAACTAAAAATGATAAGTTTTGTGGGTTCCAGGGACCGTCTCATTCAATCCCATTGAACTTTAGAAACAAAAAGAAAACACCTTGGGTGGAGCTGCTGGGTGTCTCCCACTGCCAAAGCTGTGACAACGAGTCTCAAAGACTCAAAATCACACTCCTAAAAAACATGATCACTCCACAGAGTGAGGCATGGAAGAAATGAGAGCAATCTCGTGGACATCCCTCAACTCCAAATCCCTTGCTGTTGCTTGCAGCTTCCACTCAACAAAATTACCCTGGATCTCATCTCTCAGCCATGCGCTGGGCTTCCAACTGAAAAGCATCCGCAGTTTGCTAGGCAAAGGCCGCACAGGGCTTTGTGCAGGTGTCATCATGTCATCATGTCATCTCGCTGGCACAGAACCCTCAAAAAGGAGCCGTCCAGTGTCAGACCTAAGCCAACACAGAGATGGCTCAAAACACAGTAGGGTTCTCTTGACCTGTCGGCTTGGACCCAAAGTTCTCACTACGAATGAGATGTTCGGGGACTCAAGAAGGGCTTGGTTCTCTACATGCCCTACTGCACGTCGAGTCGATTCTTTCTACAAAATCTAGGACAACGTTATTGAAGGTTTAGGAGGTGCGCCTGAGACACCTGGTATGGAACAATCCCTTCTCCACAAAACACTCAAGAAATGTCAGGGAGTCTGCCGAGGCACCGCAGTGTACCGTGACCAGACGCCTGGCAGCAAGAAGCTTTGGGTGGTTCTCTTGTCGTCTCCATTCGACATTGTGCTTCCAGTATCCTGGAGTAGTTGGAGTTGGTTCACTGGTTGTGTTATCTCACTCTGAAGCCAATGTGCCCCACTGCCCCGTGCGAGCAAAATCGTGCCTTGTCATTTTCAAAAGTTCCTGGGCTGTCGCTTTCCGGCGTCCACCAGCTAGATTTTGCAAGCTAGCCGCTGTTTGTGGTGTTATACAAATCATGATGTGGGGAAACTGGATTGGCAATTGGCACCAAGTGCTATACAGCCAGCATACAACATGTATATTGATTGTTTGGAACGAGTTGGAGGGAGGTGTTATATATATATACAGTGTATATATATATATAATGTTTATGACCGTGACAAGATTTGCCACACGGGAGCCATCGAATGATGGAAGGATGATTGATGGTTCAAATGAAAGAGGCAATGTTTCATTGAATACGTTTGTAAGATGGCACAAGTACATAACTGTTTTTAAGGCATTCTTCTGAGAGGTGTGTCATTTCTTGTTCAACCTCTGTTGGTTGGTTTGGTTTGGTTCTTGGACTCCCAAATCCGTCCATGTTCGACTGGGCTTACTATCACGGAGAGGGCCCATAATATTATCAATACTGCCAGCTATGCTCTACTTCATTGCTGGCCTAAACACATTTTAGGCAGGCCTGGACTCACCAAATGAGTTTGGGAACCGAAATTGCCTTAAAGCTGTGGGTCCTGGTTTTGGAACATGTCCCACTCCATTGGCCCACCAACACCTCACACCAAGACTCCGTTGTTGCTAAAGCAAAACCAAATTCAATCGATTCCTTCAGTTTCAATGTTGAGTTATGTGTAGAGTGCTCATGCCAAGGATCCAGTAAACACTCGACCATGCAGTTGCAAAGATCCCTGACCATGTCTCTTGCCGGCCTGACTGCAAATCAAGACATCAAATATCGAGTCAACATGATTCAACCAATTTGTCAGTTTGCAACGGGGAGGATAATTTTTGCACCCCAACAAAGGTCAAATTTGGTGAGATATCTGTTTCATAAACAACAGGCCACGTTGATATCAACATGTGTTTCTCTGAGTGTCGGAATTTGCATGTCTTATCCCGGCAAGCAACCCCCAAACACGGAAATAGTTATATGGAAATGCGCGCACATGAGAGCTTACAAATGAGGCCACACACTTGAGAGCAAACGCATGAGAACACACAGTTGCGCGCAAACATATGAGAACACATGTCAAAACACAGACATGAGAGACGTGTAGAGCACTCAGTGAAAGCACAGGCGCAACCACACACACACATCACACCTGGGAGCACGCGCAACTAGAAGCGCACGTATGAGAGCCTACATACAGGAGCACACACATCCACACATGAAGGCACACATGTGAGAGCACACGTACACCAAACATTGCGCGTGACGCATACACAAAACATTGCGCGAAATTTCTCCCAGATTCAGCGCGAACCAAACGCCCAAAGCGTTACGCCTGGCACGGCACATTCAAGTATGTAATGCTGCACCGATGCCCTGCACCTACCACGAAAAAACAACATGAGACCTATGAATTACTTTACTTCGAGTGATCCCCACCATGACATTTCAATCAATTGTTTTGATGCCATAGTGAGGAGCATGTTGCCATGGTCGTGAGAATTGTAGTTCTCGATTTTGCTTGTGGGTCCTCGGGTTGTGTGCTGTGGTTGTGTGTTGCGGTTGTGGTTGTGGTTGTGATTGTGTGTTTGTGGCTGTGTGTTTGTGGTTTTGTGTATGTGGATGTGTTTGCGGTTGTGTTTGTGGTTGTGTGTTTGTGACTGTGTTTGCGGTTGTGTTTGCGGTTGTGTTTGTGGCTCTGTGTTTGTGATTGTGCTTGTGGTTGTGTGTTTGTGGTTGTGTGTTGTGTTGTGTGTTTGTGGTTGTGTGTTTGTCGTTGTGTTTGTTGTTGTGTTTGTTGTTGTGTGTTTGTTGTTGTGTGTTTGTTGTTGTGTGTTTGTGGGTGTGTGTTTGTGGTTGTGTGTTTGTAGTTGTGTGTTTGTGGTTGTGTATTTGCTGTTGTGTTTGTGGTTGTGTTTGTGGTCGTGTATTTGCTGTTGTGTTTGTGGTTGCGTGTTTGTGGTTGTGTGTTTGCGGTTGTGTGTTTGTGGCTGTGTGTTTGTGGCTCTGTGTTTGTGATTGTGCTTGTGGTTGTGTGTTTGTGGTTGTGTGTTTGTGGTTGTGTGTTTGTGGTTGTGTGTTTGTGGTTGTGTGTTTGTGGTTGTGTGTTTGTTGTTGTGTGTTTGTGGGTGTGTGTTTGTGGTTATGTGTTTGTAGTTGTGTGTTTGTGGTTGTGTATTTGCTGTTGTGTTTGTGGTTGTGTGATTGTGGTCGTGTATTTGCTGTTGTGTTGGTGGTTGCGTGTTTGTGGTTGTGTGTTTGCGGTTGTGTGTTTGTGGCTGTGTGTTTGTGGCTGTGTGTTTGTGATTGTGTGTTTCTGGTTGTGTTTGTGGTTACGCGCCCGCAATTGTTTTTGTAGTTGTGTGTAATTGTGTTTGTGGTTGTGTGTAAGTGTGTGTCTGTAGTTGTGTTTGTTTTTGTGCGTTTGTGGTTGCGTGTTTTGTGGTTGTGTGTTCCTGGTTGTGTGTTTGTGGTTGTGTTTGTGGCGCGTTCGCGGTTGTGCGTTTTTGGTTGCGCGTTTGTCGTTGTGCGTTTGTGGTTGTGTGTTTGTGGTTGTGTGTTTGTGGTGTTGTGTTTGTGGTTGTATGTTTGTGGTTCTGTGTTTGTGATTGCGCGTTTGTCGTTGTGCGTTTGCGGTTGTGTGTTTGTGGTTGTGTGTTTGGTGTTGTGTGTTTGGGGTTATGTGTTTGTTGTTGTGTGTTTGCGGTTGTGTTTGTGGTTGTGTGTTCGTGGTTGTGTGTTTGTGGTTGCGTGCGGTGGTCGAGGTCCGGCAGGGAACACTGGGCGTGGATGGTCGTTGTTGAGGTCCGGCGGAGGACGACGAGGAGAAGGAGAAGGAAATGGCCTGACATAAAATCTAACAACCCTCACCTGACAGGTGGGGCAAAACGGGATTAACCCTTAGTTTCGAGCATGGTGAAAAATTCTGCTCCCAAGTAACGACCAATCAGATCTCAACAGAGTACTCCCACCGTAGGTTCCCATCTTGGAGCTATGGTTTTTTGAACTTCTAAGACTGAAGAAAACAAACTCAAAAGCCAGACCTGAAACTCGCCGTCATAGCGTCCCTGACCTTTGCATTGCACCCCACGGCCATGATATCCTCAGATGTTCTCGGGGCATTCACATATGCACACGGAGCAACCATTGTTCATCTATATACAGTCAACACATGGGTTCTAGTAAAGACATGGTAATGGCTTGGAACGCCTTGAGAATGGCAACTTGATGAATTGCGGCGCGCGCTCACATGGAGAGGTGGCTATGATTCTGTCTCTATTGCGTTTGGCAATGTGCAGGTGTATCTGAATCTGTATAAAGCTCCGTTGGTGACTGATCACTATTTCTTATTCATCTTTTTGAACCTTACCTCCTTTTTTGCCTGCGGCGGCGCAAAGAAAGAATTGCATTAAAATTCAAATTTGGCCAGCCAAACTTACGCCCTTCGTTAAATTGGGACAGGCAGGGCCCTTGCCTGCAACAACGCTTCATGTCTCACGCGGGCACAATCTTCCCTGATTAGTTTGGCCTTTTTGTAGGCCGTTAGATCGTTGATCGGCCAGCCGCTGGAGTGCACTGGAGCAGCTGAAGCCGAGCAGGCCGGGGCGCATGTTTCCGCGTCGATTTCTGGCTCGAAAAAATGCATCGCCAAGGCGCAAAAGGTGAGCTGACGTCGAAAAGCTCCCAGTGTTGGCCATTTGTTGCTCCGGTTGCCCACACGCCTTGCAAACCGTGCCCGAAAATCAAAAGTAAATCCAAAAAATACCCCTTTCCCTTCTGAGCCCGGGCACGTGGCTCCTGTTGTTCCACCCACTGTGGTTGGGTCGGCTGCGCTTCCGCCATGGGCCTTGTCCATGCGGCGACGGCGCCCCCTGGAACGGGAGCGGGTATACCTGCAGCAGCGAAGACAGGGCAAGACACGACGAACGTTCGGAGGACAAGCACGACAACTAATGAAAACAAGTCACGACCACTGGTTTCTTCAGCACCTCCGACTGAGCCCGGGCCTGTGGCTGCTGTCGCTCCACCCACTGTGGTTGGATCGGCTGTGCTTCCTCCTGGCCCCGCTGCACCTGCACATGGGGCCTCCACCGCAGCAGAGGATAGGATAGGTACTGGGCATGGGGCAGCGGAGGCAACGGACCAGCTTCTTGACAGGTTTCCGAATCAGGCCTCGTGCCTCTGCAACGCCGCGAGCGCGGAGGGCTCCGGACCTCCTCCACGACCGGGGTTGCACGAGTCTCAAGAGGCATCGTTGAAGGAATGCCCAGAGATCCCGGTGGTGGCAACATAGGAGACGACATCAGTGGAGGCGGAACCATCGCCAGTCATGGTCGCGGCAGTGGCACGTCTGGCAGCATCACTGCAGAATGCGGTGAAGCTAGTCACGCAGCTGGCACTTGGAGGGTTGCTTTGGCTTGCGCCTGTTTGCTCATCATGGGTGGGCCTCAACATCAGCAGGACCTTGCGGTCACACAAGAACAACTTCCAAGGCGACACAACGTACCCAAAAGTTGCAGAGGGCAATCTGCAAGCAAAGGCGTGCGCCTTCTTCATGCAGCTGGCACAGTTTCGAGGCATTGAGGTCATCCTTGAGAACCCACCTAGCAGCACTATCTTCAACTTCCCCGTGCTCCGGGCAGCTATTTCCAGCATGAAGCTGGTGAGCTGTGTGACCCATCGCTGCGCTTTTGATGTGTCTGTTGCAAAAGGGAAAAGGCTGTGGAAGAAGTGCAAATTCATGGGGCCAGCTGCATGGGTTCAGAAGCTGGCCAAGCGTCGCCCTTGCCAAGGGAAAAATCACATCTACCTGACTGAACGTTGGACTGATTGCCACGGCAAGAACCGATTCAAAGGCTTGAAGACCCTGCTTGACAAGTCTGCGGCGTACCCAGCAGCGCTGGGAACTGCAGCAGTCAAGGCTTGGCTTAAGCACAGAGCCCCAGAGACCAGAGGCCAGAAGCGGAAAGCGGTATGGTCCACCAATTCTTGGCTGCAGCCGTCAGTGAGTGGAGCTGTAGATTCCAGGCCATCTTCCAAGCCGCATTGGTGTTTGCCACCGGCTGGCAAGTAACATATCAGAGGTACTTGTTAATTAGCAGAAAAGGCCACGTCAATTCGTAGCACCCTGTACCATACTGTTTACAAATTTCAGACCCAGACCTGACCTGATGTTGCCAGGTTCCCGGGCTACGCTCCGAATCCTGGGCTTATGCACTCTGCGGCTGCCCTCAAGTGACAGCTGTCGGTTGACTGTTGGCTTTGATGGCGGACTGCAACCACCTAATGACCAAGATTTGGTTGAGCGATGTGTTCATGGATGAGCCATTGGTTTTCTGTAGCCATGCCACTTGTGCTGAGGTTTAAACCTGGCACATGGGAGGCAAACTTGACAGAATGGGCGCGGTCAAAACAGTGGAAACAGAACACGACTTTCTGCTTCCACACTACTCGATGCCATGGCCGAGACGGATACAGAGACCTAAGAGTGGATGAGGATCTGGGGCTGCCTTCTAGATGTGAAGGAAAAGGGCCTCCGCACAGTCCTTGTCAGTAGGAGCTGAGCCCAAGGCCCAAGGCAATACATAGTGTTGTTTGTGCCCGAGTCCAGAGTTCAGAGTTCAGAATGGGGTCCTCTGACCCTCGACAACAAAGCTGGCCAAAACCAGCCAAACAAGAAACCAAGAGTTTTGTTGCAGCCGCTGACTCTGTTGACCATCTGCCTTTAGAAGCTGAGGTCTGGGCTGCATAGATGATGCTGGCCGCTGCACTGCCCAGCTGCATTGTGACACCCTTCATCTTGCGCGCTTGCTTTCACCCCCCAAGGTAACAGGTTTTTTGCAAACGAACCTCCAGGAAAAAGGTTATATATTTTTCCTGCATGTGGGCTGCACTGGCAGAAAACTGCGGCTTTCAAAAAACAAGCGCACAAGACTAAAGGGTGCCATAACTTTTCCGAATTTTAAAGCAATGTAACTAGAGACACATGCGCAAAACAAAGACCACAATCCAAACTACCAGAATCAAAAAACCAATCTACCAGAATCAAAAACCATAGGTTCTGTTGTTTGTCTGGAAACTGACTTGGAAGCTAGCAAACTCATTTTTTCCGGATGACTCGCAGTGCGAGTCACCGGGATCGCCACCGCGGACGCGACGGCACGGCAGAGGGCGGGGCCAGAAAGCGAGACCACGTCGTTGGCCCGGACTTGCGCACGTAAAGGACAGGTGCAGGAAACGGCGGACATGGAGGACATCAGTGAGCCAGGTGCGTGCGTACGGCAAGACTGCACCATCTACGCGGCGACGGGCAACTTCAGCCCGAAACTCTTCCAGGGTCACGCGGCGGCTGTTTTCCAGGGACGCCCACGCATGGCATGCACCGCGCCCCCAATCCACAAGCCACGTGCCCCCATCAGCCAGCCGCGCGCCACGAACCTCCACCGTCTTCTGCCCAGACAGCAGCAAGTCGAGCCAGGGCTGACGAAGCAGCAGGATGCGATCGCCGTCCGATGGCATCGGAGCATTCACAGCGGGGCATTGTTGTCGTGGCATGGCTCACGATCTCTACCGGTTCAGAGGCGCAGGTTGGAAGAATCCTAGGGAGCAGCAAAGGCCACAAGCATGCGACAGGCTTCAGCGCGACAAACGAAGCTGCGGGCAACGACAGAGGTGCAGCATCACGAAGTACTGCGGCGCGGTGTTCCAGTGTGGCCAGCGCGAACCTCTTCGACGCAGAACCACCCTAAGTCACCCAAATTAGTAAGTTTACTAACCATAAAATTTACATATTTTGTGTTTTACTAAGGAAAATTTACGTAAAAATTTACGTAAATGTAATAGTAAATCCAATTTAGGTTATGAGTAAATTTTTTGGGTTATGAGTAAATTTTTGCGAGCATGATTTTGAAGCAGAAAATGTCTCGATTTATGTGAGTTGGCTTTGTCCAAAGAGCAAGGTTTTCTACAGGACAACATGTACTTGAGGATATTTGCGCTATGGATTTTTGCTTTTGTTGACTCAGCATGCCAGGAGGTGTGGAATTTGCCTTTACTTGAAGGGATTGCATTTACTTGAGCATGTGTACCCTTCTTGACTTGAACAAAACCTTTTTACTTGAGGGCGTCTACTTGATCCTGGGATTGTTTGATCACCGCTTGACATTTGAAGATAGTCGGTGAAAGTTTGACGCTGGACACTATTATGCGTTTATTTCTGACCAGCCAGTTTTGGGCCATAACCATTGTTTGCCCAGCGCTGCTTCATTCCATGCTCAGGAGAGGAGACCATGATGGATGTCTTGCGCAACTTCAGGGACGTGAGCAGCTCTAGTGATTGGGGAGGACAAAAAGATGTATCTGCGGGTGTGCTGCGCAAATGTTTGCAATTGAAACTTTGTTCCATGAGCCTTCTTTCTTCATTGCTTGATTTTGTTTGAGCTTTTACATGAGGGTGTGACTTTACTTGAGAAGCTTTTATTTGAGGATGTGATTTCACCTGCGGTTTCTTTTACTTGAGGCTGTGAGATTGCTTTTACTTGAGGATGGTTTTACTTGAGTGTATTTATCTTCCTGTTGAGACTTTTTGTAAGTACACTTTACATGAGGATGCCATTCAACTTGGAAGTTGTGAGTTGAAGTGCACTTGATATGTATTTGTGAAATTTAGTTCAAAAACTATAAATGTTACATAAAATGTTGATGAATTCTTGATGCACTTCTGATGTACTTTTGATGTACTTCTGATGTACTTTTGATGTATTTTTGAAAAGTGTATACACTTTTGGGTCAAAAGTGTATACACTTTTGCTAAAAGTGTATACACTTTTAAAAAGTACATCAAAAGTACATGAGAAGCGCACCAAAAGTGCATCACAAATTCATAGAGGTTTTGGCAGGTTTTATGAAAAGTTGTGATGTTCTGCATCATCTTGTCAGCAAAAAAGCAGACCTAGCAGTCGTGTGGGTTTACCCTTTACCTGAGAATGTAATGCTTTTGCACAAAGAGTTGATCAGCATTGTACGTTGTCCAAACTCAAGTTGTGAGAGTTTACTGCAGGCTTATCGGTTGTTGTTTACTTTTGTAGCTAGATTGATCTCAAAAGAGCTTTGAAACATTTGAAAGATAGGTGCAGTAGCTTGTTGGCATGGCAGACGAAGAAATTCCTATGGGCCAAGTCACACCTGAAGAGAAGGAAGAGGTTGAGCAAAAATCACCCCTGTGAAGAAGAAACCTGCTGCCAAAGCAAAGAGCCCTAAAGGAAAGAGTCCCAAAGCAGAAGCAAAAGGAAAGGGCAAACCAAACGTCGGGCGATCCCCAGTGTGTGACTTGGAGCGCGTCTACGTGGAAACGGGGTCCACACAAGAGTAAGCTAAGTTCCCTTAAGAGCGTTGCTAGGGTAAGTTCTGGGGTCCGCGTAGCTAGTAAGCGACCAGTCACCTGGCCTGCCAGTGCCTGAGGCTACCAAATCTCGGTGATCAGGAGTACGCTGCATTTCAAGCAGGGGGCGACAGAGTCACTGTGCATGGCTGTCGCCATCGAAGCTCCACGCAGCTGACTATAGGATATCCAGACTGATCATCTAGACGCACCTGCAAATGATTCAACCTGAGAAGCTGACCTCGACACCTCAGACCTCAACAAGTTTAGTGGCCAATATAATATATGTATATGTTGTTTGTTAAGCAAACCCACAAGGCGCCGATGAGGACGTTTGGTGAAGGACAACGCACCAGTGACTATTTTACAAAGACTGCAATCCCCCCATGATGATTCAGGATGACGAAGCATGGATTACACCCCCCCTTCATTCTAACAAATGCCCCCCCCCCGCAATTGAAAGAACAAAGGGGGGGTCAATTACAATACCCCTAGCAACCCCCGAAGACAATGTGAGCCAAGCACAAGGCGCAGATGATGACGTTTGGCAACCAACGAGCAGACACAGACACAGACACACGCACGTCGACAAGTTCGAGCAGGCAGCTATGCTACGAGCAGGAGCACGGCCCGTACGAAGAGACGAAAGCAGGCCCCCATTGAAAGAACAAAGGCGGGGTCAATGACAATACCCCAAGCAACCCCCGAAGACAATGTGAGCAAAGGACAAGGCGCAGTTGAAACAACAACTCCCTCAACCCCCCAATCCAAGCAACAACAAGACACCCAGATCTAGGGCCCGTCATGTCACGTCGGGTTGAAACCAAGTCCGTCATTTCATGTCTTGTGCACCCGTGTGGCCGAAGGGAGCGTCCGGGCACCCGCAGGTACGAGCAACCAACGAGCAGACACAGCCACAGACACGCGCACGGACGACAACTTCCAGCAGGCAGCTATGCTATGCTACGAGCATGAGCACTGCGTGGAGGGCATGGGAGGAAAATCAAAGGAAAGTATGGAGATCATGCATGCAGGAGCACGAAGCATGGTGTGGGTACGAAGAGACGAACGCAGGCGAAAAGAAGGTGACCCGAACCCCGAAGCTAACCAGGAAGATTCAAGATGACGAAGCATGGTGTGGCCAAAACAGCAACCTCGTATGAAGAGAAGAACGAAGCCGACCAGAACCCAAGTGTCCACTCCTGTACACTAGCGCAACAGCAAGCTACAGGGGACAAACCCTGCCACACTCCCGGTTGTTTGTCTGGAAACTGCCTCGGAAGCTAGCAAACTCATTTTTCCGGATGACTCGCAGCGCGTGTCACCGCCGGCCTGCGTGCGGCAAGACTGCGCCATCTACGCGGTGACGGGCAACTTCAGCCCAAAACTAGGGACGCCCACGCATGCACCGCGCCCCCATGCCCGAGCCACGCGCCCCCATCAGCCAGCCGCGCGCCACGAACCTCCACCGTCTTCAAGACAGCAGCAAGTCGAGCCAGGGCTGACGAAGCAGCAGGATGCGATCGCCGTCCGACGGATCGGAGCATTCACAGCAGGGCGTTGTTGTCGTGGCATGGCTCACGATACCGGTTCTGAGGCGAAGGGTTGGAAGAATCCTATAGCAAAGGCTACAAGCATGCGACAGGCTTCAGTGCGACAAACGAAGCTACGGGCAACGACAGAGGCGCAGCATCACGAAGTACTGCGGCACGGTGTTCCAGTGTGGCCAGCGCGAACCTCTTCGACGTAGAACCAGCCTTATAAAAGAAGATACATAGAACCGAAGTGGAACCTCCGGAAGTTGCGGTTTGTCTAGCGTCCGCAGTTTACTGATCCCCATTCTTTGAAGTCGCCCGGTCCCCATGTTACTTCGAGCAATCACCCGCATGTTACGTCGAGCGATCCCCAGTGTGTGACTTGGAGCGCGTCTACGTGGAAACGGGGTCCACACAAGAGTAAGCTAAGTTCCCTTGAGGGGGTGCTAGGGTAAGTTCTGGGGTCCACGTAGCTAGTAAGCGACCAGTCACCTTCCCTGCCAGTGCCTGAGGCTACCAAATCTCGGTGGTCAGGAGTACGCTGCATTTCAAGCAAGGGGCGACAGAGTCACTGCATGGCTGTCGCCATCGAAGCTCCATGCAGCTGACTAGGATATCCAGACTGATCATCTAGACCTCAACAAGTTTAGTGGCCAATATAATATATGTATATGTTGTTTGTTAAGCAAACCCACAAGGCGCCGATGAGAACGTTTGGTGAAGGACAACGCACCAGTGACTATTTTACAAAGACTGCAATCCCCCCATGAAGATGGATGACGCAGCATGGATTACACCTCCCCTTCATTCTAACAAATGGCCCCCCCCCAATTGAAAGAACAAAGCGGGGGGTCAATGACAATACTCCTAGCAACCCCCGAAGACCATGTGAGCAAAGCACAAGGCGCAGATGATGACGTTTGGCAACCAACGAGCAGACACAGACACAGACACACGCACGTCGACAAGTTCGAGCAGGCAGCTATGCTACGAGCAGGAGCACGGCCCGTACGAAGAGACGAAAGCAGGCCAAAAGAAGGGCAGCCAGGTCCGTCATGTCATTTTTGGTCAAGTCTCCTCTATCACTGCCCCCCCTATGGTAATGACAATCTCACCCCCCCAATTGAAAGAACAAAGGGGGGGGGTCAATGACAATACCCCAAGCAACCCCCGAAGACAATGTGAGCAAAGGACAAGGCGCAGATGATGACGTTTGGTCAAGGAGAACGCCCCGATGACTATATATTAAAGAAAACAAAAAAAACTCCACTCCCCCCCGCCATGGACAAGAACGATGATACCCCCCCTTTCATTCTAACAATTCGCCCCCCTTCAATTGAAACGACAAACGCCCGCTATCGGGCGGGTATGGTATATGAAGCAAAGCATGGTCATCTACAGAATCGTCTTCCATACAGCTTTCCTGCAACGACTCTGACTCTGTTTTCGATCAACTTCACAAGAATGCTCGACTTAACACAAGCACCCAGTACCTCTTTTTGACCCGAGCATGCTTGCACCTTGCTTTGGCCACTACGCGCCCTCTTCCTTGCAAGCCACTCCTCACGCGACCGGCATGCAACAGGCAGGCCCTTCATGTGCCACGCGCGTGCAATTTTCCTTGATCAGTTTGGCCCTTTTGTAGGCCGTTTGGGCGCCAAGGCCCTGCCACACTACATTCTTGCAACTGAACCACTCATTGGTTGAAGGGGGGCCTTTTAAAGAAGCCCTTGCCATGCCGCCATGCCTGTCTTCCAATTTTTTCTCGATGCAGCTTCGGCTCTTCCGGCCTGAAACTGGCCCTCATAAGTCCCACCAGGGAAGCTCAGGCGGCCGAAGCCGTGCGGAAGACCATGCAGCAGATCACCTCTGCGCCACACTGGGATTTAAACAGGGATGGCCTCACCTGCCTCAAGTCAGGACTGCGCCTACGAGGGCATGAAATAAAGGACAAACATGCCTCTTTTGCCGAACCAACTGCCACAAGCTTTATATAGATACCTTTTCTGGTCCGTGGGCTCACAGGCATAAAGTGACAATTCATCGTTCTTGTGGATTTCGCTCATCAGCTTCGTCAAACCTCCTCCTTGAAATTGGTCACACTAAATCTTGCTACTAGTAGCTTCTTGTTACTAGTAGTAACGGCCTCCAACCTAATGGCGATTCCAACTATCAGCGTCCTTGCTAATTACTTCAGATTGATACGCGGTTGTCTATCTCATTCAATGGTGAGGACCTGGATATCCTGGTTCCTCTCTTTGGGGCAGTGCAAGCTCTGCCTGTGTAGGCTCTTCCATCGCCCCAGGTCAGCTGGCCATGTTGCGGAACGGCTGGGCAAGCGGCTGACTGTGAGTCACCCGAGCAGTGCGCAGAGCTTTTCCTGAAGTCGAACAAAACACCAACAGCGGAACTGGGTGACTCCATGACAATCTCCCTGAAGCTACATCTGGTCAGCATGCTAGGGAACATAACCTTGGCTCTGTACCTTTCCATCAGGATCCACCAGCTCGACAATGAAACGCTACTGTAAGTTCTTTTGTCACTCTGAACTCTGTAGACTTCAAGCATCTTTAAACTTAGCATGGTAGAACCCCCGCTTGCCTGGAAGAACTACTTGACGAGCTTGAGCTGGACGAAGACGAAGAAGTGGAAGAAGCTGAAGATGAACGAGTTTCCTAGACTGCTTGTGTTTTCCTGTGATGACCAAAACATCAGCTTACTTGTGAATAAACAAACACAAAATAACAAAAATATGGGCCTATGGGTGTCCCATCTGATGGTGGATGGGGTTGATCCAAGTGCAAAGGGAGTGTCTTTTTGTGCACCTTTCGCAATGTGATCAGCATCAACAAGCCTGCATGCTTTGGCAGCTTGAGCAGCCCAGGTTGACTGGGATGTCCTGTCGTTGCTCTTCACGCTCTTCCTTGCCAAAATGCAAGGACCAATGATGCCACACCACGCACTAAAGCATGGCAACAATCATTTGACGAAGACGCAAAAACTAAGTAAGAGACCTCCGCACGATGGAAATCTAACACTCTATTGTTCTTTAGCCAACAAGTTGTCTCAAGAATCCGCGATAGCAGTATCTCCGAGGTCCAACGTTGCATGATGTGCTGTGGACTTTTCTAGCTGGCGTGCTGGGAAATGTGTAGTCATGTAGTCCAAATGGGTGCAGTACTGTCATCACCTTCTATACTTGAAAATACCCTTACAATCTCCAACATTGATGAATCCAAACGCTTTAGAACTGTATCTCGTGGATTTGAAAAAGCTACACTTTCTCTCTCGGAGTTCCTTTTCCTGTGAGAAGCTTGGTGCATCCAATTTGTTTGTCCAAACCCTTCTTGCCCCTTCTACAAAAAAACAAGAGCACACCACTGACCTGCATTAGCCGCGGAGTGGTGCTTTGCCTCGCCAAGCAACTTCGGCGTGGCCTTGGCCTTTCGCCGGGGTCGTGGTGGTGTGGAGGCCACCGCCGATCGTCGCCGGGGCTCCGGAGTCACAGCACGGGCTGTGCGGGCCGTGCGGGGGGGCTCCGTGTGTCTCGTGTGGAGCGCATTCCAACGGTTCTGGAGCTGCCTGCCAATGGCCTGGGAGCGAAGGTCACGGCGGAGCTCTTCGAAGGTTGCACCATCCTGAGATGCACCGGTGCTAGATGCACTGCAAGCACGGCGGATAAAGTTCAGCTGAATGCGTTCCAGCTGCTGCAGAATGAGGGAGTGTCGGTGAAAAACGGTACCCGTGCGGCCAGTGCCAGTCAAAGACAATTATATATACGGATTCAACATGACAAAAGAGTGATCAGTATCTGGACGAACAGCACAATTCCTGGCCTTTATCCCGAGGGCTGTTTACTCTCTATGTCTAGGGCTGCGCGGCAGGCAAAGCAACTCAAACTAATACATGCATGAGTAAAGTATGTAGATGCATCAGTCCAGCATACCGACACAGCACATTGTCCAAGCATCTCCAAAGCTTTGGCTAAGTTTGCCGCTGCTGGCCAGCTGCTTCAGCCCCTGATAGTGCCGGAACCAACCAGGCTTCCGAAGCGCGGCCACGATGCAGCGGAGGTTGTCAGGATGTACTGTGGGACCACAAAGCAGCTCTCCAGTCTCCCTGTCCGCAAGTACAGGACGAGCCAACGCAGCTGGTGGGCCAACCAAGTACTTCCGCCTTAGGGTAGTTGAGTACAAGGTCCACCACAGAGTATTTTGAGCCTACAAATAGCCACAGTAATTTGGAATGATCAAATGAAGTGAGATGTGATGAGTGGAGATGAAGAAAAATGAGAGAGGGGTCTTACGACTACGACGTGAATGCTTCATTCCACAACTTATGGGCCCAACTGAACTGATTCTGATAAAGCTACCACCTTGGTAAGGCCAGTTGGCAAAAGTTGGTGGCTTTTGTGCTCTTGTGCTCTTGGTACATGAAAGCCTTGCTTGCACTTTATCAACAGGTCTTTGGTCCAAGAAATATCAAATGACAATTATGATAATCATTGGCGGCTTTCATTGCGTGCATTTCCCCCTTGGGCCGAGCCACCAAATCTGTGGCTCTAAAAGCTCTCCATACCAGGTGCGGCTTGCATAGCCCAGTGCCAAGGCATCGTCGGCTTTGCAAGACTCAGGCAAGGCTGACCACTGGGGCAAGCGGTTCTCCAGTGGAGCTGGGAAGACCACGTTCAATCATGTCATTTCGATGTTCGATGTTCCATACAAGTGTATGATGGTCTGTGTACATTTTAAAGAGAAACCAGTGATGCTGAGATTCCTGACGAGAACTTTGAAGCCGGGTATTCTCCTCTTTTCCCAGAGCCATTCTCGGGTCTAAGTTGTCTTCTACGCATGCTGGAGGTGACATGCTATCCGATCCTGGGTGCTGTGGATGAGGTAAATCCATCCGCACTGCATGCCTTACGATCAGGCTCTGATTAGGTCCGTGGGTCATTGTGGGTCTGTGTTTTGAAAAGTGCAGCTCGCAAACACTGATTAGAGAAAAGGATACGGTATGATACATTCCCTTTTGGCCCATCTGTCTCCGACCTTGGTCCAAAACCCAGGGACCTGGCAAATGGGATGGCATTGGTGAGTTACAGTTAGAGTAGGGGGGCAGCTCTCGTTTGAGTGCTTCAAACAGTGGGTTCTGGAATCTTGAGTTCTGGAAGATGGTCTACCAAATCGCCCTTGACCCCAAAAGGTCTCTTTCGCCTCTGCAATCCACAGCGCTGCCCAACACACGTCAATGATCTCCATGGCAGAGCCAGAGACACCAAAGCAGAGCTCCAGGTTGAAGTAGGAAAACCCGTGAACTGCCGGCTAGGGGGAATGCTATGGTAGTTTCCGGACAAAAGAATGTCCACCAACCCAAGGGTAGCAACACTGACCTGGCATACTGTCTTGCGATCATTCGACACCATCTCGTATGTTGAAACCCTGCGATGTCTTGAAGACATGCTTCTCAAGTTCAATCTGGTTGTTTTGTTTGCTTTCCAAGGCCCTTTCATGCGGGACTGGGATTGTCTGAGCTGTGGGCATGTCCCTCTTATCAATAGGCTTGCAAAAACCTTCAGTGCCTCGCAATGGGCGATCTACGTCTACATGTCGCTTCCTCAAGCTATGCTTGCTTGGTCAACAGCCATCCAATCGTAGTGAATTCCAAGAGGGTGAGAGGTCACTGTACTAGCCTCTTGCTACGTTCGTAGTAAGAAGGCTCCTAGTAACGATGCCAGGAGCCTCTAGTAGCGTCCTTGCTCCTAGTAGTAAGGCCAGGAGCCCCTAGTAGCTTCTTAGGAAAACCACAGTACTGGTCTTCAACGTCGACTTCCATCGCAACAAAATGGAAGACCAATTGGACCAAAATGCCTCCCCATCACTCTTCAGTCAGCCCGCGACCATGCCTGAAACCAGTCACCTGAAGGATGCGGCTCACGGAGGAATCCCCTTAAAATTGAGCAATGGTGAAACAGGATGAAACAGGACCATATTAGACGAAACCCTCGTCTTGTTCAATCATGTTCATCTGTAAGAATACCAACACAAGTCCTTTAGGCGATCATCTACATTATAATGCACATATGATATTATATATAATTGCAAATCTCTGGTCCTTCCAAATGAGCTTGCATGTGGTGCACTTTGACTCACTGGGGATGTCCGTGAGAAATGATTGGGAATTTGGTTTAGATGGCATACCTTGACGGAATGGGACTGCGGGCAATGGCGACACAAGTCTTCCTTGCCTCTCGGTCTTGCGGCGGCACGCGCCAAGCTGGCAAAATGCTCGAAGATATCAGCCGCGCCACCGCCAGCCGGCACCTAGCAGTCAGGGGAGGCTGTGGAGGCGACAGAAAGGATTCTTCTCATCAACTGCAAGTCTTCCTGCCCACGACGAGCTGAGTAAATTCATGCCAGCGGGGCTACAACATTACACATCTCAATAAATCTGATCTGGATATGTGAAGATCATTCAACATTTGCAAGCCCGAAGCTGCCGAAGCTCACATCCCCACCGTCACAAGCTACATGATGCTATATGCTATAACAGATAATGGCGATGTCAGGAATTCAGAGTCTCTACTCCCACAGTCAACTCATACAGAGCTGGTGCAGTCTTTGTCGTTCGATCCACTCCTGTGTGGCTTGTGCCACGTTTGGAGTGTTGATGAGCTTTCTAGCTTGGTGCAATCATCCAGTCCGCAGGAGTCGGTGGTAGTGGGGGGTGTCACAAAATTCCTGGAAATGCCAGCCAACCTCGCTAAACAAGACTACATGGACATACGCGTGGACTACAATGACTACATGAGTGGCGGAATTCATTAGGGGCCAAACTCGAGCGCACTATCTATTTTGAGGGGTCCCCGTCTCGTTTTAGACTACTTTAGTAGGAGATCACGTGTTGTCATGTTTGCACTATCTCTTTCATATTATGCAGATCACTGGTATCTCATTTTGAGGGGGCCCTATCTCGTTCACAAGCGAATACTGATGTTAGACAGACACATAAACATCATTTAAAAAGTAAAAATGATTTAAAATGTGCGTGCAGTAGACTCAGACTACAGCAAAGCCCTAGTAAAAGCGGCTCCTCATAGTTGTAGAGTCAGCGCAATTGAGCAATTGGTAATGATTAATGGTGATCTGAGAATCCGTTCTCCAGGCTGTTTGTCCAGACGGGGCCACAGCGGCAGGGCAGGTCACAAGGTCTCGAGATCCCCATCATCCCACAGAACTTCCTCCCAGGCCCCGACGGAAATTGCCTCGTTGGGCTGCGGTGTTTCCGGAACATCGGCCTTGGAAGGACGCTACTAGGGGCTCCTGGCCTTACTACTAGGAGCAAGGACGCTACTAGGGGCTCCCAGTGTCACGGGCCCTGTGAAGCTTCCCAGGAAGTGTGGTCAGCACCTTCCTGCCTTCTCACCGTGACATCTCCTGGACTCCTTTTTGCTCACACAACGCTTTTGTCTGTCTACATCCAAAACCTATAATGACCGACATGATCTGCACAGTCACAGTGATCTGATTTATCCTAAATTCCTGCTGTTGAACAACTAAGAATGCCCCGCCATTCCTATCGCAAACGTCTGCGTAGAAACCAATGGTGCAACTCCTCAATGCAGATCAAACAAGGCTTTTGTGTCATGTCATGGCAGTACTTTTGCAGCCGTTCTTGATGAGAATGACAACCCTGGTAAGTCCTAAGTCAGCCACCCAGATCAGAAGCTGTGTTGCTCGTAGCTCGCTCAGGAATCAGTGTGTGTAGGTAGAGAGAGCGAGAGAGAGAGAGAGAGAGCAATTCTGGGAGCAGAACTCCCTTAGCGCCTCCTATATCCCTTCTGAGCTTCAAGCAGGTCGAAGCGTCGGCACCTCCTGGACAGGGGACCCCCGTATCGGTGTAAAGGCAGTGTGTTGAAGCTGGCGGGGCAAGCGTCAGCACGCAATCTTTAAGCAGCCATGGTGCTCGACATCCAAAAGCAGCGATGTGCAATGGTGAGCTGAGGTTCCCTTTCTTGGGCCAACCTTGGGGCCAATCTTCGGGGAAGTTCTTTCTCAACACCAGTAAGACAGTTGATGCCAACAGTAGTTCCCAAAGATATATGCACGAATACGCATACCCTTGAGAGAATGAAGACCAAGGCCAACCTGTCCCTGCGGCGCTATAGCGGCTATATAGGCGATGCGATGCGACGTTAAAAGAGAAAAGTCGTGGCATCGTTCGAGTCCTTCTATCAAAGAAATGATCGATGGCAAATCAGCTCTGTTGGGCTATGGGCCAAGACGATTTCCATTGTAGTAGGGAAGAGGTTGTGGAATGTGGGAGGTAAATCTGTAAGTATATAAATCTGACATTTAGGAGACGACTAACAATTTGGTACCTCCAGGTTGAACGTCAGTGATGACGTCAAGAAGATAACTTTACACTCATCATGTATGCATTACATTGCATTACTGTATTTGTATGTATTTGTATGTATATATGTAAATGCAACTTCACCCCAACGCTGTCACAAAACCCATCATCTTTCTCAACACGCGGATACACATGGTAGTGTGGGTCTCACTAGAACATTTTGTCACGAAAGAACGATACTCTCGCTGGCAACCTCTTTCTGGAGGTCTCCCTCCCTTGCTCCTGTCCAGCCTGGCTTCCCTTGGATGCGCGGAACGAATTGCCAAGGGTTAGCCAACTCAAAGGGAGCGAAGGCAGCTGATCCTGCTCCCTTGACCATCAAATCATACTCCTGGGTAAGATTATTTTAGGTCGGCAGCAACAGTTGGCTTCCTTTCTCGAACAGACTCGCTCAAAAGACCTCCAAGGGTCCGAGGCACTGACCTGGTATCTGCAGCAAGACTCATCATTGTAGGTCTGCTTGGCTTCTTTTGAGGTCTCCCAACTCCCAACACTTCCAAATGACTTGTTGAAACCTCGGACCTTAGGATTGAGAGAATTGAGGATCATAAACCAAAGCTCGCTGCTGGAGAGGTAAGCGATGGTAAGCGATGAACATTTGCCAGCCCTCAAGTATGGTCATAGATAGACAGCCTCGCAGTCACTCCGAACCTTAAGTTTCCAAAAAAATCAGGAACCAAATGATGAGTGGGAGCACTTCTTCAAGAAGCTCCCCCCGGCCGCCTTTAGGGCGACGCGGAGAGCTTCCTTGAAGAAGCGTGAGCTATCCTGCGCTCTGCTTAAGCTACTAGCGACTCCCTAGCTGCTTCTACCAGCTACCTACTCCTAGCTAGTTACTACTACCTCTACTAGCGGCCTACCCCCCGAAAAAAAGGAATCCAAAGGATTGATTATGCGAAATCTGAAGGGTTAGACGATTGGACCGCCCTTGGTTTTCAGCCTTTCGTCACAATTTGCTTCAAGCAGCCGGGAAAGGCGTGTCAGGCTCCACCGCCGGTCCTGCCTCAAAAAAAATTTGTTGGGGCTGCAAGTGGAAGCGGCAAATGAAAGGCACCAAGCTGTTCAGTATTTCTTTCGTGCAGTCTAGGTTCTACTACAGTAACTTTAGGGTTTGCTTCTCGGCTTGTCGAAGCAGTGTGTGTGTGCGAGGTGGAATCAAAAGAGATTTGAAGGCATGTTGCTGGCACTTTCGGCAGCATGGAACCCCGGACACGGGAATTTAGCCAGCGGTACAGGTCAGGTAGCCAGATAAGGAAGAAGAAACATGCAGGGACGGGGGCTGACCGTTGGCAGGTGTTTGCAGCATTGCGCTTACTTTGGGTTGTTTGAGTTTGTTTCTAGCGATGCCTGGAGCCCCTAGTAGCGTCCTTGCTCCTAGTAGCGATGCCAGAAGCCCCTAGTAGCATCCTTGTTTCTAGCCTCCTCTCCAATGCCTTTTGTTTAAAATATGTTGGCAAAAGACGAAGAGACGTCGAAATGTGAGCATGGTATCAAGAATGAATCCCAGCTGAAGCGTGCAAATGCAAATCGCCGATGCATACAGAAACATTCATTCTTGTGCAATGCATGTTCATGCAGCACCTGCCACGGCGTTGCCTCGAACCAGCGCCGCCCAACGTGAAATGCCTTGCAGATTTCACCCCAATTTCACCCCAGCTGGAAAGTGAGAAAGCAAGCAAAGAGTACAACACACCTGTACAAAGGGAACCCCTCCAGACCTGCTTGGAACCTTAAGGAAGCCACCCAAGACATCCCAAAACCACTTCTGAAGTTGATCCGGAATGTTGGAACCTTATTATACTGCCAACTCGAGGCCGGCAGAACTCAAACTGAAGGAACCCCCCTGAATATGTACGGCGCCAGCCGTTAGAATCATTTGGAACTCGCCCTAGCTTGGAACCTGCATGAACCTGCCGGAACAAGTCGAAAACCACCACAAGCTTCCTGAATCCTCTTCACATCAAACCACCTGCAACCTCAGTTTCTGGCACTTCCCAGAACATGCCTGGAACCTTCAAACTGGATTTCTGAAACTTGCAAGAATCATTTTTGGAGCCGCCCTAGCAAGTTGGCTGAAGACCCAAAAGCCTCCTGCTGTTGCAAAACGAATGAGAACAGCTTTGATATGCCACTCAATCCTCTGGGTGGTAGCAAACAAGTCAATAAACAGAGCGCCCTTTGGGAAACAGAAACTGCAACGCGCATAATTCTGTTAAACTGTTGCGGACTCCTCACCCTTACACCTTTGCCCAAGAAATTGCAGTCAGGATATACTGCCTTCAAATGTAGTATGTTCGTTGGAGAATCTCATTCGTTACTAGTAGCGATGCCCTTGTCCGAATCGGTCTGAGCGGCTTGGCTTTGGGTCAAAACCAAAAAGGTCTGTGGCCATCTGCCTCTGGGGGCGGATTCAGTGCATTTGCGGCAGCAGGACCTGCGTGACCTGCGTGGGGCTGGACATTCTGTGCAAAAGTGGATAACCTGACGAGAGATTGAAGGATGATTCTAATTTCTCTCAATATTTGGAACTCTGGGAGACTCTGCAGTGCATCTGTTGACCCGGATTGTTTACACTGTCATCTATGTCCAGTCTACTTTCTCCACACAATGTACTGCACGTGTGTCGATCTGGAATGAGATCCAGCTTGCAAACCATGGTTGTGGGAAAAGAATGTATCCCACACTACAACAAGACCTATGATTCACTAGCAGTACTCTGATTCATCCAGGGGCAATCGACCACAATGATGTCAAGGTCTCAATGGCAAAAGCGATCTATAATTACATGACATAGTGATTTGAACGTTTTGGTGAACTTTAAGAAAAGGAAGCAAATGTCTCTGATCATCCTCATTTAATAAATTTATCCTTCATATGGGTCTGCTGGATCTCCTTGTCAACAAGGCCCCCATGTCGTGGAGACCGCCATTTTGAGTCCAGTAGGTCCCCGGATTTGGCACGACCTTTTTTGCGGCAATGAGGAGCCACTTCTGTTCATCTCTTCCATTCCGGAGTGATGTAGGACTTCTTGGTGGCACTCAAATCAATCAAAGGGAACAATTTGAGGAGAGAACATAAGTCCACCATCCTGTAAACACTAGTTCAATCAATTTGGGGGCCACATGTATCCTTGGCGGCCTACTGAACATGCCTCTGTGCCCGACGTTGGCTCCAGTTCATCGTTGCATGTGTCGCAGATCGACTCTAACATGTACTTGCAGTATTACTGAGAGTATGCATAAGAGGTGATCTAAGGCTAAGGAAGAGGGGGAAAAAAAGTCAAAACATCGCTCATCGCTGAGCGTCAAATATACAAATGTACATTGCATGTCCTGTATATACATATGTTTGAATCTCTTCGTGCTTGTAGAAGCCGCGGATTGATCAAATAGAATCCAACCAGAAAACATACTGTCTGGCTTCTTGCCGTAGCAGATGCAAAGAACAACTTCGACCCTCTTAACAGGACAATATGTCTATCTATGTACGGGCACTCTGGGTCGCAGAATCCTCTGATCCCCTGGCCAGAACTATTTGTGAGGCCAGAACAACGCCCGGAACAAACAGAAGACGCGTAGCATTGTTTGGAAGGCGCATGATGTTGATGTTGAGAAAACACCGATTTTGCTGGAACTTCAAGTCTCTGTACAAAACACTCAACGGAAATGTCACTGAACATTGGAAGCCATGGGTTTCTCGAAGACCTTGCTAATGTACAAAATGGCATCATTGCCGGTCATTGCAGGACTTCTCAGGGCTTCAGTCCAGCCCACCACCAATGTCAGGTGGCGGCGGTGCAGACATAGTCACGCCTTACGAAAATGTGATCGGTGAGGTCTGATGGTGGTAAAAGGGTCTATGATAATTTGCAAGTGGCTGACAAGTTACGACATACATTCTCAAGCATGTCAGCCTGAAATATACACCGATCAGTAGCTGTCATGTAACAGGGCTCCAAAACAGCACAAACCTGTATTCATAACTCTTGGCGTGCAAATACATGATTCGAGAGTAATGCCGTTGCTTGATGGTGCCACCGACACACACACACAACGCCTTGCGTTTCTACGTTTCTTCAACAACAGCAGCAGCAGCAACAACAACAATTACTACTTCTACTTCTACTACTACTACTTCTACTACTACTACTTCTACTACTACTACTACTACTACTACTACTACTAATGGAATGAAGTTAAAATAAAGGCCTGAACTTGCGAAAAAGAAAACAAAAACCTTTTTAAATGTGTCGGCGGCCGTACTCCATGATCCCAACAATCCCGGAACCTTCCATTGCCCTTTGTTGAAGGGATGGAATATCACTGAAAGAAACGGGATCGAAGTTGCAATCTATCTAACTTTGCAATGGGAAAATACTCAAATTCCCCCCTTTTGTCCATCTTCCGTTCGCCATAAGCTTGGAACAATTGGCCCTTGCCCTTTGTCAATCATCGAAATAGATTTGCTCAGGTGCCCAACAACAGCTGCATCGCTTGCCTCAGTTCTGCCATTGAAGGTTGAAACAATTAGGCTGGGGCTGAACTTGGAAAACTGGGTCCAGCTGGCTTGTACGCTTGAAGAGGAGTGCTCTCTCCACATCTCTCCACAATCTACTTGTCGAAAAGGAAAAAACTCACTCCAATTGGTCAGGTACCCACTTAGTCACATTTCAGTTTAGTTCTCTCCTAGGCTTGGCAATGCTTGGTCGGGTCCAGCTGTATAGACATGGAGCACTAGATTTATGTTGGCCAGTTAGCCAACTTCTATGGGAGTATGGGAAACAAAAAAAGTGCAAAAAAAGTGCAGAAAAAGTGCGTGCATGAAAAGCAAACACAAAATAGCAACGTTCAAGAAAAGCAAAAAAAGAGCAAAAAAAAAGAGCAAAAAAAAGCAATCAAAAAAGCAAAAAAGAGCATTTTTTTGGAGGCAAATTGGGCACGCTTCTTTTTTGCACTTTTTTGCACTTTTTTTTGCATTTTTTTTGCTCTTTTTTTGCACTTGTTTCGCACTTTTTTTTTCTTTTTTTCGAGGAAAGTGCAAAGTTTTGGCATTTCCAGAGCCACAACAAAAGTGGGGAAAAAGTGGGAGAACAAATTCCAGAGCCACAAAAAAAGTGGGGGAAAAGTGGGTGAAACATTGCTTTTTTGTTTGTTTTTTTTGGTTTGTTTTTTTTTTCCTTTTTTGTTTGCTTTTTTTTCCCTTTTTTGTTTGCTTTTTTTTTGCGCTTTTGTTTGCTTTTTTTCTGCTTTGTTTCTGCACTTCTTATCCAGACAGTTGTTCTTTCTGCTTTTTGGTTTTGCTCTTTTTTTGCTTTTTTTCTGCACTTTTTCTTTTTCAATGATTCTTAGAACTTGGCTGTAAGTGGACAACATAACACTAGATTAATGCAAGGACATGACCAATCCCATGTCAAAGTTGTGGATTGATATTGCTTGTCCTTTGCAGTGCTTCAGTAGTTGGCCTTGATGGTTGATGGCAGGGAACTTTATTCCAGGGGGTCAAGCAATAGTATCAGGCGATGTCCTCCCATCAACGCTGTTCCAGGGACATCGAATGACACAAAGGAGGAAAAGAAACATGTGTATCTGTATCGTTTGTAAGCTAGAGAAAAGAAAACAATTCAAGCGACAAAAGCAATACATGCTCAGATCTTTCTCAGTCAAAGGTCTGCTGCTTCTTGAGGATCTCCAGAAATGCAGGATTCGAAAAGAGCTCTGCTTGCTTTACAACGGCTGCTGCCTCGACTTTCGGGGCCCAGAATTATAGGCAAAGCTCTTTCTGTCCATGAATATGTAGCATATTAAATGTGTGTATTTCTTCCTTGCGCTTGCAGTTGCAAGATGTTAGCCTGTTCAGATCCTGTTGCTGATTTGTATAATAGTGTCTTTACCTACGTAAATCTAGTTGTGCGTTTACAGTCCCATCAGTAGCAAAGCCCGAACTCATAGGGGATGTGCCTCAGGTGAAAGGGATTGTAAGCCCACCTTTAATAAGACCCCTATTAAGAAGAATGGTGCCTATTTCCAGGGGGCCTTACCTTCCCTTTTTCTTTAGTTACTATCTTACAATATCTTGCAAATGTTCACAATCCCTAGTTTCACCCGGCACTGCAGCCCCGCGCAGGTCCTCGATATCTTCGTTTGAAACACCATGCTTCTTCTCAACCTGGGCGTGCACCAACGCCTGAGAAAGGCCAGACGAGAAAGACACTAGCAAGACGGACAATACATTGCAAATACTGTAATTCTTTCCGCTTGTGGTAGCTATAGCTACACAAGTTTGCTAGGCAATTGGGGATGATCGTCCCAGCAGAATTCAGATCTTGCCTAGTCAACAAAGTCCAACCCCTTAAAACCCTGAGCATCACAAGCAACACAACAGGCGACGGTCCTTATCTCTGTGGGTATCGGCATCTTACGCAAAGAATTGGACTGGATATGACAAAGATGCTGAGCACCCAGAAATGAATCTTTACTTGCAGCTTGAATGTAGTGTAGGGCTAGAAGCAGCTTGTTCCTGATGGTCCACTCAATCTCAAGCATTGCATCCCAATGTTCATGTAATAAACTTCAAACCAATCTTCCTGATCTTCTTCTAAATCCAAAACAATCATCAAACTCCTCTACTCGTCTGGTTTCCTTTCGTTTCATCTCACATTTCGCTCCTTGAGGGCGATGGTTGCAGCCTTGAAGTCCCGGTCCTTGGCATCAGGCTGTTTGAGGAAGCGGTCCACCTGCCGCTGAAGCTCGTCCACTGAGAAGCCCTCAGCAGCGGAACGGTCCGGAACGGAATGCAAACGACCGAATCCAAGAGCACAGTTGGACTCTACAAGGAGCTCTCAGGACTGAGAAAGAACATCAGTGAAGCTCTGAATAAATCAAGCAAGCCTTTAAACACCAGAAGACCTGAAAGGCTTTAAGTCTGTGAGACTTCAAGGGACCCAAGGGATAGTGTCCGGAAAATAAAGACTCATGCATGCATGCATTGTTTGGATTGATTTGTTGCTGTGTGTTGTTTGGTACAACAACTTAAGGTTCTGGAGGAACTCCTCCAGGAGAAAGAAGGTCGGTCGAAGGGCGGCTGCAAAACACCAAGTCACTATGATGAACAATACTTACGGTAATTATACATGTCAATGTAAACACCGAGAATCGAGACCATGAGACTCACAACCCGTCAGACATGGTTCTGTTGGGCTATGCAAATATAGAGAGATGCTTGCATATGCATGTAAGTTAGATTGGAAACTACTGGTTGGAATCCGAAACTTTCCCAGGGAGGACCAGGGACAAATCCGTCAACAGGAAGATTCACAAAACAACATCTATAAATATATATATATATAGTTGGAGAAAAGAAACCTGTCCAGGACGTAGCAAGCATTGTAAACTGTAAACCTAGATCACTGCCGCCGTCGGCAGTTGAGTTGATTCGACTGGTGTCGTTGCTCCTCTGGCCGCTGTCGTTGTAGTAGTTGTTGCTGCTGCTGTCATTAATGATGTCGACAAATTCTGCTTCAAACATTGTAACATTGGCTCAGCCATCCCAACTAAATTGTGGACACGTCGCAGATCCCACAAGCTGCACAATGTTCCAAAGTCAAACTGGCCAAAGTGCCTTAACTTCGAGGATTTTTGCCACATCAAAGTCCGGTTTAGCACGAGCAGGATCCATGGCGGGACCAGCACCTGGCAGAATGAAAAGCGAAAGTTATTGGACGGTACTAGGAACGGGCGTTCAGACTCCCAAAGGAACATTGACTCAGCAATCAGCTGTTAGTCGGTTCTCACATTTAGATTCAGAATGATTCATATTAGTACTGCTGTTCTTCTTCAAACTGTTTCATGCTTGGAGTCATACACATGCTCATATATACATCATCCTACTCGTGCAGCACTTGAGAAGAACACGATACTGATTGTAACAGGTACATGCGGTTTTGGGTTGAAGTTTGGGAGTTGTTTGGGAAGACTCATGGAGAAGAGTAAAGTGCTACTTGTCTGCAATGTTACCCCACAAAGGGAGTGTCCCGTGCATGCTGATGCTGATCATGCTGCTGCTTCTTCTTGGGGATAGAGTTTGGTCTTTAATCATACCTTGAACTTCGTACATAAGAACCGCCAACAAAGCACTCAGTCTGGAGGTTCAGGTAGAGGTCAGAGTTGCCACAGGAGGATCGGTTGATAGTCCCACCCGACCGTTCATCTGCAGTATCCACCAGAAACCAGAAGCCGCTGGACTTGCGCAAATGTCAAATAAGCTATGCTTAAAAAAACAGCACGATGCAGAACAAGAAAATAAAGGATCTGCCACACCCCATTCAGTACCCTTGGACTGAAATCTCTATCCCCAACTTTGGCTTGCATGGCATCTTCCATCAAACTTGGAGGGGCCATTCATGAGAAGGTTTGTGTTCACAAAGCTTCAAGTATGTTTAGTAACTAGAAGCTACCAGGTGGAGGCCATCGCTATTAGGTTGGAGGCCATCGCTACGAACGTAACAAGAAAGCTTGCTAGTAACATCTAGTGACACTAGTGTTCATGTTCAGTCATAGTTTCCATGACTCCCAGCCTGAGAGCCGCGCCATCATCTCTATCACGAAGGGGTCATGTTGCGACTGAGTCACCTGGTAAGGACGAGCCACAGCAGCCAGGATAAGGATTATCAAACAAGTGTTGTTATCCCGACACAGGTCCGACAGTGGGTTTAGCAACTCAACGAGGCCTAACCGCTAACCGTTAAACTCTATCATGTGGCTGGAAGTTTCACACACAACGATCACCACCGTACCCATCCGGACCATCCACCGAAAACCATGTGGCTCCCCACTCTCTGCCCGGCAGACTCTGCCCAGACACCATCATTTCAAACTCTTGGACACCCATCTTGCGTTTCTCCAGCGGATCATAAAGGTCCAGCTTCTCCACTCTTTTGTATGCTTCATCCATAGAAAGCTCCTGAGGGTGAGGGTCGAACGTGTGAGGCATTGTGTCTGAACTGGATCCATGGTCGAATCGCTTTGAATATATAGTGTAAACTTTGACGGGCCATGAAATCTGTCACAGGATTCCTGCTCGTGATTGTGGAGGTGCCCCCAAGATCCCCCAAGAAAGCGCCCTGCGTCTCCTTGCCATCCAGCTGCATTTTCACCATTTCCTGGGGCGTCTTCAATCAACGAACATTGGTCATTGTCAGTGGTCCCACCAAATCCCTCCCAAAGCACAACAAAGGAGGACCGGTGAATAAAGAGTGCTTTTTGAAACATGTTGATGACTCTAGATAGCTAGATAGACGTTTCATTGTCGGGCCCCCAACCAGTCAACGTCCACGTGCAGGGCCCGGTTGTAACCCTCTCAGTCAAAATCCCCATCCGCTAGCTGTCTTGCAAGTCCGCGCAGCATATCAACCAGTCCCAAGCTAAGGGTGGCAACATGGTGAACAAGCTGGACAAAGGACAAAAGACTCAAGAGGAGCAGGTAATGTGAAGAGCAGCAGCTACAGTAGTTGGGTCCTAGAGTTCAAAAGTTATATAAAACCCAAGCCTTAGAAGCCTAAGCGTGGACAATGCCTACTATTACTACGAGACACCTTGGCAGAAACAGCTCGAGAACCCTCCTTGGCTTTGCTTTCTTTAGCGCTTAGCAGCCTCAAGGCGCCCCTCAAATGGGGCAAGGGACTGCCGAGTGCAAAACGGAAGACGACCACTTTGCCGTCTTTGCCCAAGTTCTTTTTCAAGGCTCGTCGACGGCACGCTTTGCCAGTTCCTCGACTTCAACAAGTTCGTTGAGGATTTCGTGGACGACCTTCCGGTCATCCTCACACGACACAAGACTGATAGGAACATGTGCAACAGTCGCACAGCAATCAAACCAGTCTCTACGAGTCATGACACTAAATCAATGTCTGTTCCGCGTTTAGCCACAGCAAGCATACAGTACCGACATGCCGACATTCCATTGAACATTGGATGTCCTAATGCATTGCTGATCTTCTGAACGACTAAGCAACTGGAGGTCAAATCGCCCAGTGTTCTCCGAAAGGCGTTAGACTTTGCACTAAGGCCCTAAGGTAACAGAAATAGAATACTAATTTAAGTTTAATTCTAATAGCGAACCTTGTTACTACTAGTAAGGCACCTGTTACTACTAGCGTGGCACTTGTTAATAAGCTAAAGTGCCCTAAAGGACGACAACGAGTGTATTTCTTGTTGCAGCTCTGGCAATAAGGACAAAGGACGCTGAGGGCGATTGAGACATCTGTGTACAATTGACAACGGACAAGCTCCATTGATGGGACTTTATAAAATCCATTGTCTTTAGAAACATAAATCCACTGTCCATGCAGCACTATATTAGGACCTTTGGGAAAGTCTGTGCTGTTGCGCGGGCAAGTATTCTACTTAACTTATTGGTCCTGCTTTGGCTCATCCTCTTCTTCTTCCCTGCACATGAAAAAAGACTAATGATTCTGAGAAGCATGCTATGTGCAACAATTCCTGCTTCGAATGACTGGTCCATGCAGCCAAAATACTGTACAATACAAGTATATATATATACAAAACAAAAGAACAAGACCAAGAGATGGTCTTCCTCACAGTGCCTCACTACCGCATCCATATGGCTAGCCATGTGACTTATATACTGAACATCCAAGACCCTCGCAGCTCTGACCCAAACTGTGCAAATCCCGCTTTAGGAGCACCACCATGACTGCCAACAGCGCTGCCGCCCCGGCGGCAATCGCTGCCAGAGGTTTCCAGGACAGTGTGGGCAAGGAGGGCATGGCCTCAAAGCAGTCCATGGTAAATCATAACAACAAACACATGCTCTTTTCACAAAGAAAGAATCTTCTCTGTTCCTGCCCTAGTTGTTGTGGGGCAGGGGCGTCCGCAAGACTGACGATCTTGCATGCGGCCGAAACGACACCTAATCTGTCGGCCCTCATAGACACAGCTTCAAATCGGGGCTCATATATGTTGTGAAGTTGTGCATATCCTATAACCAGTAAAATGGATGATGATGGTTAGTAAAGGCATGTAAAGGCCTTTCTCTAAAACCGTGATAACTGTTTACCGACTATTACAGGTACTTAGTAGGACAGACCCCATCCCCCAAACCATGCCTGTTCAATCATTGAACATAAGGCATCCAACAAGGCAGGGCTCCAGTGCAACTTTGACATTCCGGCTGGTGGGAGTATTGAATCCAACTGTACCTACTGAAAAATGACGAACCGATACCGATACCATCGCCCACCGATTCCAACCATCCCAATCTCGACTGTGCCTTGCAGCTAGAAAGGCGGCCCAAGCAGCCAAAACTCTTGGCAAGGCTCTCGTTCTTGGACACAGTTGTTTGGTCTGTGACACTTTTCGGGGTAGAAGTAGGATGGAAAGTGCAAGCGGTTGGTTTGCTGGTGGAAGTGTCAGCATATTACGAATCTCAGATTGTTTGAGCCACTGTCAGAAGTGCTGAATGGAGGGATCCTGCGAACCGTAACTCATCAGTAAGCAGGCATGATAAGACATGATTTAAATATATATATATATTGATTATATAATATATAATATAATATATTGGATAGAATATGGTGCAGTAAGTACGGTAAGTCTTCGATTCCACCCGGTATTCTCAGACTTCAAAGCATTGAATACTATCGACACATGTTGTGGGACATCTTCGTCCAGGAACGTTCGTCGCCTACTTGCATCTACTTGCAGAGTTTCAAGCGAGACCCTCCATCTTCTCCCGATTCTGGCTTCCGCTACAAGAAGGAAGCAACATGTCAAGATCACAGACATTTGACGGTTAACGTGGGCAAAGATTTCACGATCCGTGGATGCCTCATAATCTCGAGACCATCCCGCAGAATAATTCGCCACATCTTTCAGACTTTCAGCCTCAAGTGAATTGTAAGTGGAATTGGAGGTGAACAAACATATCCACCAGGTGTCTACCAAGGAAGCCATGCTGATTTTGATCAATATGTTCCACTGATACGGTCCTGAATGTTTTTCTCCCGACAAAACCGATAAATATGCGACGCGTTTGAGCAATCGACCCTTATTCGAGCTTCCAAACAAAGCAACAACGCAAGCACGAAGCGGTTTCCGAATGCCGAAACGCAGCACAAGTAAAGCCACCCACCACAGTTCTTGGATGGGTCTTCAGAAAGAACTCTTCCGCTATCTCGATCCAAGCATTCGTGGCCGCAATGAGTTGCATTGGCGTTAGGCCTTTAGGTCTTGCTAGTAGTGCCCAGAAAAGACTCGAGGCAGGTCCATGGCTTTTGAACCAGAAAGGAAAACCGACGATAATTGTTCAAGACAAATGGAACCTGCCAAGGTGTCTCAGCATCAGCATCCAAACTTGGCGTAAGATCGGGAGACAACGTAGGAATGAAGTTTGGAGACCAGAGTTAATTGTCCCATAATAATTTACCCATGTCTTTTCTATACCAGCCTAGTCATGTCAGTTAGTTGGTCAGTTGGTTAGTTAGCTAGTTCCTTTGAGTTCATGCTCATCCCACTTCAGGATTCAGACAAAAATGGTATTGAGATCGCCAACTCTCTCCCTCCCGCCCTTGCATGTAGAAAATATGATCAGCATGTTGTGTTCCTCCAAGTAAAGGGTGTACCCTGGCTGTGGATCAAGATTGGCCGGTCCAAACTGACCTTGCGAATCTGGGACTACGGCTGCTAAAAGCTGCAGCCCTTTGCAATCCCTTCGCAGGAAAAAGGATATGTCTTCAGAGTGATCATTGCGGGTCGCAACCGTAGTACAGACCTGTGAGAGATTCTTTCTAAGGTCACAGTTCATGTTTCAACCATTCATATCAAACATTGCTCCCTATTACCTTGATTGTGATCTACCAACCAAGAGGTGAGGTGCTGGCAAACTTCTGTACTTCTTGTGCTAAATGTCACTCATTGCTGAGAAAATGGATCTATCATTAAACATGATGTATATATGTTAACCAGCTGCCAGGTGAGAAGGTATTCTGCTTCACTTGGAGGAGCCAGCATAGCTTTGGGCTTCATCCACAAAGTACAGAACGTTTTCCTGGTGCTGGCTGGGAGAAATTTCCAGTGAAGAAAAGTGTCATTGATACTAAGTGCAGTATTGTCCCTCCACAATCCATTGGGCAACGTGAAAAATACAGTAATTGTGTTGGATGTTGTTTTGGCGGAAGGAGTCTTGATTGTTCAGGTTCGCTTGAGTTGCTTGACACTGCACGTGCTGGGGAAAGGAAGCACGACTTCATGACTTTGGCTCTTCAAGCAAGGGCTGCCTGATTTCTATGGCCATCATCCAACTACACACTCCAGTATCCTTTGACAAATTTGAGACAAAGCATTTGCAGTAAATTGATGGCTCTTCTTTGTCAGCTTGAAATCAGCGGCGTGCCTCTGGCGTTCCTTGTAGCACACCATGGCCAAGGTTCAAAATGTGCCTGTTCGTCAGGACACAGCTAGGGTATGAGACAAAATACTGCCTTGGGTCCAACTACAGCGAACCCATTCCAGAGCTGCACAAGGTCTATAATTGAATGCACATTCAAACTGCGCAAACCATCAACTGTGCAAATAGTGTCGGCAAAAGTATGCAAGCCTGTCCTAGAATATGAATGATATATATATATATATTATGAAAGCATCTGTTGGCCAAGGTGTTCAAAGTTCAAATAATCTCTGTTAATTACACTACAATCCTAGGTAGCACCTTGATCTTGAATTGATTGATCATCTCATGGTCAGTATGGGCGACGGCATCCAAGCCTTCCAGGACCTCCAGCTTCATCAATGACTGCTCGAACGGCCTGAAGCACGACGTAAGCGAATCTGAGCATAACCAACCCGTGCGTAAAGGTCATTGGTTCAAGGACAAATATGCTCACAAAAACAGCAACGAGAGCGTGCGCTTTCATTCAATTCTTACTGGTGACAGTCATTAGGGTGGCCTTGCGAATGTGATCCTCCTCTCCATATCTCAGGAGGAATGGGTCCACCTCAAGCACTTGCAGCCCGGCAAGAACCCAATCAAATCAAGAAGCAATCAAACTCGGAAAGGCAGGTGAGAATTTGAACATGAAGTCATAGAAAAATCTTTGCCCACTGTTCTATCTGATTCTATCTTCCTACGTTAACTACTAAAAGAATCAGTAGATAGGCAAATGTGTGCAGCTGCACAACCGGTTCAAACACAAGAAAGAACACACTGGAGGTCGCAACATCCGAGCAAATGGCTAGTGCTTGACCCAAACAAAAACTATTGTATGGCCCGCTCTTACTCAAACATGGGTGCTGCTCACAGCCTGTCTCAATCAGCAGTCACCAGCAGTAGCTGCAAAAATCAACATCAAATAAAGTCACTAGGTGCCGGGTCTTAGCAGGAGCCCGTTACAATTTGCTTAAAGATTTAAAGCATAGGCATAAGCCAAATGCAAAAATATGCCTCTACCGTCTTTCAATTGAAACAAGAATGAAGAACTATATTGAGTGCCATTCTTGTTGAATGCCTGGTCCCCAGCACCGCGGTCACTTTGAATTCGTTGAGTGCCCAGCATTGCCCTGGACAACCAGCCGGCGTTCAGGTCCTTCAAAGTAGGTTTACTGTTCGAAGCTGTCGGTGGGGGATTCAACGTGATGATCGTGTTGCTTGAAGTCTATTTTGCAACGTGACACCTATTTTGCTTGTCAACACACATTACAAGGATGAGGGAGTGCTCCACAAGTGATGGTGCAACTCGGCTAAGAAGCCAAAGTCGCCATGCCCTGCTCAACCCACAAACATCAAGGAAGCAAGCGTCCTGCGTGATTGTGCGTCTCCACGACCTCTGCAGCATCTTTCATTCGCATGTGCCTTAGACAAGCCAGTGTTCGGACCATTCACATCGCTTGATGCGGCTGAAAACACAAGACGCTTGCATAGGAATTCAAACAGACTGAGCGAGCAGAAACAGGTGTTCGATCTTTACAGCTCTACTGTAACAGTAAACGGTTTGCAAGGAAGCTTCTAGTTATTAGAAAGCTTTATTGTCACTAAGAGGCTTCGAAAACATAACAAAAAGCTTTCTACAGGTGAAACGATTCCCAAGGAAACCAATAAACACACCAAAGTGGGGATCGCCACGTCCAAACCTAGTAGCAACTCTTGACCTGTCCGAATGTTGTCGAAACTTCGTGGTCTGGGACAACTCCCTGCAGCCTGTGGGCGCATCAACGCCGATGACATCTATGTGTCCAGCGAGCATCTTAACCTTGCGACAGCATGAAAGAGCCGATAAAAGGTTGTCTTGTAAGAAATTGCGTCTGTGGGCCTGCGCGCCAAGGTTTGACTCAAATCAGCCATGTGCGAGATCTCCCGATAATCAAGATCCGTATAGTCTGCTTTAGTCTGCTGGGGCAGTGTTGAAAAGATTTTGGCCCTTGTTTCAGCTCTATTCTGGAATAACTGAATGACTAACAGACTACCATGAAAATCTCCAGACCAGGCTCCATCCCCCGTAACTCGAAAACGCCGTTGGGTAGCTGTCATCGCTTCAGTATCCTAAATTGTTCATCCAAAGCTGCCTATGCAGTTTGGGCTGCAATTTGATGAGTGCCTGACCTATCATATCTCCTGGAAACTAGCGGAGATAATGAATCACCGGCAACAAATAGATGTACAATGATATACAGTAATTAGTAGTCGACAGTAATTGTAAGTGCGCTGCGCAGTGTCTCGTCCCTGCTTGAAAGCAAACCTGGAAAGCATTGCGGTATGGACATCTGCCTGGTCCGAGAAGTACGGAGAGCCACCGTTCGCAAAGTAAATGATTGGGACGTCAGGACAAGCCTGCAACGGAAAGATCCGCCCACCATCAAATGTTGGATAAGAATGATAAGATTCACAGGCACCAGAGCACAAATCGGGCAGTGCCTAATCCTTTTAGCATAAGAAATGGTTCAGCACAGACACTTTCGTTTCAGCAGTGATTCTATATCTGCAGGGACCATACGATAAGACATGACATAGCACATGTTTGTTTGATATGGGCCCATGTGTGACCTTCCAGCTGAGCATTACCTTAATTTGGACTCGAGTGACTGGATTCGCTCTTCGTGGATTTGACAGCTCTTCACAAGATTAACAGGAGTCTGGGTGGAGACTTTCGGGAGTAGTGCCAGTGCCAGTGGAGTCACTTTGCTTCAGGACCTCTAGAACCTCTTCCAAGCACCTAAAGAGTGGAGCAGAAAAAGAATGTTCAAGATTCACACTCACGCTAGACAATTTTGCCAACGAGCAGATGTGCCCCCTGTCCCCCTGTTACACCCTAAGGCACTAAGGCACCCCTAGACCATCTCCGAGCCGCGAAACTCCAGGCCTTCCGTAAGGTTTGCGCCACCTCCGGAGGGTCACAAAAGCACATCACAGAAGGTGTCATGCCGCAAGCTCCTTTATCAACGTTGAGGAACTCCCAACAAACCACAGAGGTTCAACGTTGATTTTACGAAGTCGACTGTGTCAGGCCATGAGAACAAAATGAAACTGACATCTACCATCTATATAATGTATGTGTTTACGTTTAAGTTTAACTATGTGTATGTAAATATACATCTAGAGTAAGTGTGTATATACTGTATTTTTATATGTATATTTAATCACAGCCGCCAGTCTTTTTCACGCGTTGCAGCCAGTTTGTCTGAAATCGAAAAGCTCGATGGAAACATACGATTGAAACAATAACCTCTCGGGGCCCCGACACCCCTCGACTTCCGCCAAACCAGGAAGAAGGGGGTGCCCCCCCTGTGCCCCTCATGGCCGCAGCCGCCAAACCGGCGCTCCATGAGCCCGAACACTTGAGAGGGACTACCTTGGACAACCTCCACTTCCCAAAGGTAGTCATTGAGGGTTTTCAATCTCTCCCATAACCCTCGAAACGACGAAAAAGGACAGGTTTTTCGGACAAACCCCACAACACAGGGTGGGAGGGAGGGCTTTCTTAAGCCCCAATGCTACGGTGAAAATATAACTGACTCTGTGATTAATCATGGGGTCATGAGATCAATCACAGCCGCCAGTCTTTTTCACGCGTTGCAGCCAGTTTGTCTGAAATCGAAAAGCTCGATGGAAACATACGATTGAAACAATAACCTCTCGGGGCCCCGACACCCCTCGACTTCCGCCAAACCAGGAAGAAGGGGGTGCCCCCCCTGTGCCCCTCATGGCCGCAGCCGCCAAACCGGCGCTCCATGAGCCCGAACACTTGAGAGGGACTACCTTGGACAACCTCCACTTCCCAAAGGTAGTCATTGAGGGTTTTCAATCTCTCCCATAACCCTCGAAACGACGAAAAAGGACAGGTTTTTCGGGGCTTTCCACGTCCCCCTGGTCTGGGCGCCTTCCGGGGCCCAGGCTCAAGGATTGGGTGCTTCTGGTACAAAGAAAGAAATGGCCGCAATTGCGAATTAGGGACAGAGATCTCGGATAGCTGTGCTAATCCGTCGTTGAGGTATATACGTGCCGTTTTCGCGGCTCCCCAACGTCCTTGGACTAGTAATCTATCAAAGCTACCGTGGTGCTGAAAGAAGAATGTAGCCCCCCCCCTACGGAGGGAATAAGGGCGGTAGGCAAACTCTTGAAGTTTCAGCCCTTCTATGGCACGGTTAAATAAATTTCGCCAAGCATGGGGTTTGATGGTGAGGAAATCATGTGGCTTAGCCAAGCGTTTCCAACTATACAGGCCTGGAATAACAGAGGATTCATGGATGGTAATGCTTTCAGCCGCCCCTTGGCGGGCTCCAGACTTGGTCATGCCCAAGGAGATGACGGCTGGGCCTTTCGGTGTAGTGAGGTAAACATCTTTAGCGCGGAGACTTAAAAGTTCGCCCGTGCGCAACAAGCCAAAAAAGGCGACACGGAGGGAAAGGCCAAACTCAGGACAGTCTTGCAGTACGCTCCACCCACAGAGGGCGTTGAGCAAAGTGAGCGTCAACGGCGGCGCCCGGTTCGGAATTTCCGCGGAGTTCCAAGCTTTCATCAGCCGCCAGCTGCCTGGGAGCTTCTTCTTCAAGCTCGGTTCATAGTCTTGAAGCGCTGCAAGGGCATTGTTGGCAACCGATTTCCCTTCTCCAGAAGCCCATAAGAACTCCAAGTAGTCCGACACTACATTATCCATCTGGGAGGCTTGGCTGGGCAAGCGAAGGCCTTCCCGTGTCAACCAATCTAAGAATTGGTGCAATGCTTGGTCATAGCGATGTCGAGTTCGTGGCTGGACGGTCAAATCCTTCAACTTTCCTAAACTCTTGCGTACTTTTTGTCGTTGTTGTTTGCTGCGGCCATCAACTATCTTCTTCGTGCTTTTAGCCATCCCTTCCGAACCGGCCGGCGGGACGGGCGGTCCGCCGGGTTTTGCTTTGTATCAATGTAGCCCCAGGCTACATGGAGTCCGCTAGCCAACAACAACGCACTAATTTTTGCAAGAGTTCTTCTGAGTTTGCGACTACTCGACCGTCCACGTGACAAGGCATGGAGGACAACAAGCGAGTCAACCAAGTGCAAGCATTTACGACCATGCTCCTGAAGCTCCTTGATGCGCCAGACCAACGCTGTTTTCACCGCCCTGAGTTCCAGGGCGTTGATATGTTCTGTCTCTCCAGTCCAGCGCCATCCGACAACATCACGCCAACGCCACAACTTTCCGGGGATAGATGCCCTTAGTCGGTGGTACCGAGCCGGGATGTCAGTTGCTAACTGGAGGAGAATGTCTTCTCCCTTGACGGAGACCTGACCCAGAAGTTTTTGCACTAGTCCATAGGTTTCTTGTCCATATGCAGTGCTGTGGCGCAAGGGAGGACGCATCAACAAGCCTGCCATGTTAGGGCATCGGCCGGGCGTGAGCGAATTGACAATGTCCTGGACTGTTTTCACTTCATTCAACCCCAAAGTTGCAAAAAGGCTATGCAAGAGACAAGTTACAACCGGCACCGACCAACTGTTGCCCAACAATGTCAGACGGAGGTCATTGCAGCGGGTGGTTCCTGTTTCAGATTTGGGAAGACACTTGGCAGTGTACTGGAAAGGAAAACCAAGGATCGCCTCGCGCTCAACAATGGAAGGAAGTCGCACGTCTCCTTTTGAATTTGTGACCGTGTTCTCCCACCGATATTGGTAAGGGGGAAACCTGTGTTGGTCAGCACGCCAACGGGCGACAGCTTCGGGGGGGCACAGCGCAAGTCCCGCTGGTTTCCGTCCTGGAGTGGGTGAAGGACGTGAGGTGGTGAACGTAGGCAGGCTGCTGGCTGATGTAAGTTTCCAACCAGGCTCTAAGAAGTCACGCTCATCAATCTCACCTGCAAAGCGGATGGTCCCTGCAAGAGGTAGGCGATGGGATTCCCCACGAAAGATGGAGGCTCCTTGCAAATCCCTGGGCTCCCAGTTGAACCAGTAAAGCCGGGGGCGCCGACACAACGACAAGCCAGCTGAGTCAACCAACCACGGGTCCATATCATAGGCCTGCGACATGACCTTACAATCCTCGACATCCATGGAGGCTACGTTCTCAACAAGCGTGAAGACCGGACACCATGAGAAAAACCTCTTCAAGAGTCGCTCGACGCGCGGGACATGGGAGAACAAACAAGAACGCACGTCTCGCAACGCCCCCCTCCGATCTGTGTTTAACCCTGAGACCCCTTGACACGGGGGTCCAGCGCCAAGGAGGACCGCACAAACACCTGGAAACCTCAAGCTCCAGCTACTGACCTCATGCTCCTCAATGGACTTGACCTCCTCAATGCCAACAACCTCCGGGAACCAGCTTTCGACAACTCTGCGGGCCTCCGGTGAGATCTCCGCCGCAACATAGCCTGCGACCGGCACCTGTAGGGCGTCCACCGCAATGCGAAGAGCTCCAATGCCATCAAACAAGGACACCACCAAGATCGCGCCGACTTCGTCCTGGGAGATCACATCTCCCCTACAACTGGCTAAACTAGCGGCCACTCCGTAAGGGCTAACACTCTTCGACACGCACAAGCCACCGCCAGTGGTGGAGGCATCGCTGGCCGTCACCTGCTCTGATATCGGCGTCCGAAAGTCCATGTACGCTAACGGGGTCAAGGCGACAAATCGGAGTATCTCATGCTCAACCTCAGGGCCTAGATTTGCTCGTTGTGTGGGCTTGAGCTTGTCCAACTCGACCACACGCCTCCAAATTGCATTCAGACCTGACAACAGTGGTCGCCTGAACATAGCAATGTACACGAAACCTCCTCCGATCACCTGGAGCTCTCGCTGCGAAGCCTTCCCCTTGATCACTGCCTCACAAGCAAGCTTCACATACCTCATGACTTTCTCGGGCTTGGGCCCTGCTCGTCCTAGCTCGCCATCCACCCAAGCGCCCTGAACCTCTGCTCTGACTGATTGCATTACTGCCTTTTTTGGGTGCCGGGGGAGTCCAAGGGTCTCGTACGTCTGTCTCACCGCTAGAGTCCAGGCGGAGGGCGTCCCAGCTAACATCCCCGCTAACGTCCTGTCCACCTTCTTCAGCTCATCATAGTTGTCAAGGTAAACCCTGAACAGATGGGGTGCACAACTAGAAGGGCGGTCTCGTCTAATCTCCTGATGTCCTGAGGCCAGCCTTGCATCACCTTTCAGAGCCTGATTGATCACTCTCCTATGGACGTGCTGCGCGATGGCCACGGAGTTTATGAACCATATCGGCAACACCTGTGTGACCAAATGCCATCCTCTGCCTGCAAACCCCTCTGGGAGAGCCTCCTCTGGGACCTCCCGTCCAAACCCCATGTACTTCCACCAGCTAGCCGGAGTCCGGAACAAGTAGAAAAAGCACCGGATGTCTTCCGACGAAGTCACCAGCAGTTGATTGTCATCAAGCACTATCGACGACATGCCTATCACACTCGGTAGAGTTGAAGTGTCTCCTACCAGACTTCGGCAGCATCCATTTGTAGGTACCAGGTTCATGATCAACCTACATACTTCAAAAATGTTTCCGGATGTATCAGTGGCCTGCTCCTGCTTGCTAACAGCAAACAGTCCGTTCAGCAAGGGACGATCTCCTATATGATGCAACTCACTGACATGCATGAGCCGACAAACCCCCCGTCGCACCAGCCCCGAGCAGACTTCCGCCCAGTGGCAGGCCTCCACCATAATGCTTGGCGTCTTTCCCAGGTGCTGATCCTGGGGCGGCAAAAGAAAATCCTCAAAACGCTGAACATAAGCCAGCGTTCCCCCTTCACAGAAATCCTCCAGGTTGAGGCTGCCTACTGCTTCTGGGAATGCGGCTTCGATCATCCTCCAATCGAAACGACGAGCGACCTGGACGATCTCCCCCGAGTAATCCACGGAACGGTTTTGGAAGAATTCCCCAAACTCAAGGTCCGGGATCTCACAACCTCCTAGGTCAGAATCCTCAACCACTTTCTTCAACCTCTCAACCAAAATCAAACGAGTCTTGTCTTCCCTGTGCCTCTCAACTGTCTTTGTCCCATACAATGAATTCAATGCTTGCACCAATGCATCTGCACAAAACAAGGGGGAGCTAGAGGTCTCCAACGAGGACGGAAGGGGCAAGGGGAACAAGTCCCCCTTGGTCTTGCTGCAACGCGTGTACATCTTCTCCTGCACCTTCAACGCCTCTAGGAGGACCCTCCCAAGCTCCTCAAAACACAAGTCCTTTTTTCGACACGTCATGGCGAGGTTGTGACGACACTCCTCAAATGCTTGCCGTCCGCTTGCATCTGACGCCATCCGTCTCAACCCACTCTCTCGTGGGGAGGTATAGGTCGTCATAGCAGCTCCTCTCACAGCACCTTCAGACTCCTCTACGCGGTGCCTTGAGTGCTGGGAGTCCTGCTCCCTTTCAACCACGCACGCAGTCTGCCCAACATCATCAGCGCTCTGTATCCTCACTGCCTGACGCTGGGAGACCTCTTTCTCCCTTGGAAAACTGTCTTTCAACCTGCCCTCTTCAGCCCTCATATTCAAGCCCTTCTTTTCACTCTCCTCCAACAGCCTCTCTATTGCCTCCTCATCCAAGACGCCCTCTGCATCATCCAGCGCACCACTCCTCAACGCTCCAGCCTCTTCCGCCTCATCTGCCTTTTTTCTTGGATCGTTTCTCACACCTCCTTTGGAGTCTCTCTTGCATCCTCGTCTACTCATTTTTCTTTTTTCCCTTTCCTTTTTCTCTCTTCCCCTTGTCACCTTTTCCTTTTTCTCCTCCAGGTGTGTAACGATCCTTTCCTTTTCCAGCACCTTCACCTTTTTCTCGCCCTCCTGAACCACTGGACGACCCATAGGGCCGCTGGGAGGCGAGTCGGTCTCTTAACTCCTCCCTTGCCAGCTTGGCGGCTTCTTGTCCTTCAGGGCCTTTGCTTAGGCCAGCTGCTTCAGCACTGACTAGTTCCAGCTGTCTCGCAACTGTCCAATGCCCTCCTCGGATCTGCTGATCGAGGGCCTTGATCCTCTGAGCCAGCAAATCCAGCGCACGTGCAGGATGTCCACGAAGGAGCAAGTCGGCCCCCTGCGAAAGGGTCAGGAGCTCTTGGCTCATCGATGGAGAACACAAGGCTTGCATCTCCAAGCGATAGTACTGTGAAAAGATCGGGGGAAGGCTCTTCCGATCCACAGAATACAGACTACCGCTCTGGGTCAGCAGGGACTCCTTCATGTTCGCCACTGTCTGCGAGGCCAGGCTTCCGGGATAGCGGCGTGTCAAGCGTAGCGCTCTCTTGCGCTCCTCAAACAAGCCTTCACCGAACTCCTCATCATCCGATTCGGTGGACGAGCTGGAGTCACTTGACTCTTCACTTGACGAGCGCTTCCTCTTTTTTGAGCCCTTCCCTCCAAGGCGTTTGGCCTTTTTCAGCAGCCTGCTGCGGGCCTCAGCATCCGGGTCCAAGCAAGTCCCTTCGTACAAGGCTGACAATGGCTTCTGCCCACGCTCCATTAATGCACCGCCATCCTCATCTCCTGCACCTTTCTTGGCGCTCTGTTCCTTCTCTGCCTTCTTCGTCTTCTCTTTGCGCTTCTTCTTCTTCTTTTCTTTTGCCTTCTTCTCACTGGACACACTGGGAGACCTTTTCTCCCCTGCCAAACCTGCTTGCCTCTCCTCATGAAGCGTCCTCAACTTGGCCAACTCATCATGCCGCGGCCTGCTCAACTCAGCCTCTGCTGCTGGCCGTACATCACCTCCATCATACTGGACCTGCCACGGCTTCGTCTCTCCATCAAGCAACCAGTACCCAGCCGCATGGATGATGTCAGGTCCTGTCTCCTTTTGCCCACAATCTGGGCCACAGACATGGAGCTGGAACACACGCTTCTGGGGGTCCGCCAAGATGTCCATCATGTGCTCACTTTGGGCGCCCGTTGCACGGAACCTCAAGAACTCTTCGTCCTTCCCGAGGCCTTCCACATAGCCTGCCAGCTTGATGTGCCCCTCATAGTACGACGCTTGAGCTAGTTCTATGCGTCCCAGCGTCCTCAACTGTAGGGCGGCCAGATCTCTGAACCAGTGGAGCACTTCCACTTTCTCCTCTGCTCCTGCCTTCGCGGCTGGCCTCCGCCGTAGGGCTGGGGCTCGGGCTGCTGGCCGAGCACGAGGGGGCATTATCTTCGACGGTTGAAGAGCTCTTGTTTTGCCCTTCGAGTCACCCCCTTATTCTTTCCAGCCCACCACCTCGGGTGATTGCTGTAGGGCACCCTGCCTATCCAGCCTGGGCCTTGTCGGGCTGCCGGTCTTCTCGGGGGCCTCACTGGCGGGGCACGGACCGGCGGCTGCCGCACCGGCGGCGGAGCTGGCGGGGGGCCCGGAGGCGTATGGGGACTCCGAGGCCTGGCCGGAGACTTTGGCCTGGGTGCCTCACCACGTTTGGCTTCCCTCACTCGAGGTCCCGTGACTGAGCTGCTGCCTGATGGGGTCCGCTTCCTCCTCCGATCTTTTTCCTTTTTCTCCTTCTTCTCACGCCGCCTTCTTTTCTTTTCACGGCCCCGGGAACTGGGAGAACTGCTGGATCTCTCCCTTCTTCGCCTCCTCCTGGACTTCTCCCTTTTTGCTTTGCCGTGCTCCTCCGACTCAACTGCCACCTCCTCTTCACCGGTCAAGGGATCACTTCTCCCTTTGCGGGTTGTCGGGACCTTTGTCTCAGGTCGTTCAACCCGAGGCTCCGGGATGCCGTGGCTTGGTCTGGGGATTCGGACTGTCTGGGAGCTGTATCCTCTGCTGGCGCTCCCCTGGGCTGTCGCTGGATTGGGTGGAGGTGGTGGCAAAGGTAACCTGCTGGGCGCACTGCTGGATCCGCTGGGGCGCACTGGAGTGGCGGGGTGCTGGTCTCTGGTGGCCCTTGGGGGCTGAGGGTCTCTGGTGGTCTTGGCTGAGGCTTCAACGGGTCTGTTGGATGTCCTAGGGCTGTCACTTTTCACGGGCTCTTTCTCTTCTCGCTGGGGCTTCTCCTGGGGCTTGTCCTCCTGACTGCTCTTCTTCTCCTTAGCTGCTTTTTCTTTTGCAGTCAAGCCTTTGATCTCGGTGATCCAGTCCTGCAAGAGGCTGAAACACCCTTCCAGAAAGACGACGGCCGACTCGTCTTTCCCTGGAGGTATCACGTTCCTTAGCGACACCCCCAGCTGATATGCTTTGCGGCACGGACCGCAGGTAGCCACCGATCGATCCCTCACAACGAAGTGGTGGCACCTATCGCAAACTGGGAGAGGAGGGCTGGCCTCCTCTCCCATCCAACACCTTTCTTAAGCCCCAATGCTACGGTGAAAATATAACTGACTCTGTGATTAATCATGGGGTCATGAGATCATACATATGGTGACTGTATGTGCAAATATATATATATATATTAGATATTAGAGAGAGGTATATACACACTGTACACATCAAACACGTCGAAAACAGCTGCTTGGCTCTTCCACCATTTCAATAATACCCAAGGGGCAATGAACTCTCAACCTTTACAGTACCGGGAAGGAAGGGCCTTTACGGCACAGGGCGCGGCAAAGCGTTTCCAGAGCTCTGGAGTCAGGCAATGAGCCCAAGACCTCAGGATTCAAAACAACTGAGTAGAACCAAAGAAGGCCCTTTAGAGATCAGAAACAAATTTTCCTTGGTCAATTTTTTTCTTTATGTCTACTTGCTCCCTAGTAGCGTCCTTGCTCCTAGTAGTAAGGCCAGGAGCCCCTAGTAGCTTCTTGTTCCTAGTCTTTTGAATACGTTATATCTTTTTGTTGCTGGTGATCGGAAAGACAAAAGAACAAGGCAACAACCCTCATGGAACCAGAAGTGAACTGACTGACAAAACATGTCTCCATTTCATGGAGCAATCCCTGGCAACGCTCGCACTGTTTGGTTGATGGACGTGACACAAATTGTCTCCACCGCTTGGAAACAAATGTGACTGCCCATAGCCCAGTGGCTCAAAGATCTGGATGCACTGAGCCCCACTCTCCACCTGCATCATTCCAGGGTTGTCCAGGGTTGTAGGAAGAGTTCGATGGATGGGAGCTGGATGACCTGTGCTTCCTGCGTTTCTTCTGCCGGTGAAAAGCATCGATCACTCACCTTCTAAAACTCTCAGAGGTGAGATGGAATGTGGCTTGGAGATAGCGGAAAGGGCACCCACAAAAGTAAGTGTATTCTTGTTTACATCTGACCTGCTATCGGGCTGCCTAGCATCTATTGCTTTGTCTGTAACATTGTGATGATTAACATTTCCAGATATTCTCAGCGGCAGACAGACAGGTGTGTTAGTTAATTAGGTCTTCCTTCCAACTTGTGAATCAAAGGGTTTGTCTATTCACACGCAACACTGACTGACCGTCTTCTGTGCCTGATAAATAGCATAGTTGCTGATGGTGACAGTCATGCGATGCAAGAACTCGTCCACCACCTGCTGCGCAGAACGCTGCTGGACAAATGTAGAGCAGGCTTGCCGCAAAAATCGTTCTGCTCTTTCTTCCACCAAACACATGGTGGACCATACATGACTGATACAAGAGGCCACCAAGTATCCATACATTGAATCCAGAAGGTGTTACATCCACACGACTATCGTGTTTCAGGCTCTTCGCACAATACAATAGTTTTCAGGCCACTTCCAGTAGGTCAGATGTCATTTCAAGCCTCTGGCTTGCTGAACATCCACTTTTTGAAGAGCGCCGCCTCCTTTGTGCTCCCCGCCTGCACTGCGAAAAGGTTGATAAAGGCTGGCATCGCTTCAGATAATTTATGCGTCTCAAACTCACACGGTCGGTCAAAGGAGGGTTTAAATCTTGATTGTATTTGTTGTATATTATTGTATATCCGCCGACCCCTGCTTAGCCTTTGCCTAAGCGGGGCGGCGCCAGGGACACCGGAGGGTGGAACGGGTGGCAGTGCAAACGAAAGCCCCAGCATGCCACGTTAAGCAGCCACCCCCGCCTTCAAAGCCCTACTGCGTCGGCATCACTCCTGCACTGACCAAACAAAGGCCGCAGCTTGGCTCAGAAAGCTTTTTCTATGGGCTTCCGAAGGCAACGTTAGACACCCACGGGCCCCGCCCGCAAACGTCCCTGCAGGCCGTATGCGCGCCTGCGAACCGCGCTGGGGGTCGTTTGCGCGCCCGCAAACCCTCCTGAGGTGCGGACAGTGCCGTCTGCCAGGCGTCAAACCCTTCCCGGGACCTCTGGCCGCACTCCTGCGCTGCAGCTATGCCGGCCAAAGGCCGCAGCTCGGCCCAGACTTCCGAAGGCAACGTTAGACACCCACCGGCCCCGCCTGCAAACGTCCCAGCAGGCCGTTTGCGCGCCTGCGAACCCCTCTGGGGGCCGTTTGCCCACCCGCAAACCTCTATGGGCTTCCAAAGAAGCTTCTAAAACATAGCAAGCTTTTGAATAGCATCTAATAAGGTATGGGTCCAAAACTATACAAAGGCTTTTCGCCTAGGGTTCCCACAGTAGTGTACTGGGCATCGCTTTGCTTGTACGTCCCACAGTGCTTTTTTGAGCTGCCGGACGCTGTTGCTGAGAGGTAACTGAGGTCCCCTGGCCACAAAGCTGTACAGCAAGCTGGCCATGGCCGTCCTCAGACCGACACGCCGTTGGTTTGTCGTGGCCATCCTGACCCAGTGAGACGGGTCTGAGCCGTTCCTCCACGAAAATGCACATGCAAAAACAACAGTTTAACAGACATGTACGTAGTTCCTTCACGAAAAGAAAACTAGAGACTGGTTCGGTTGATCATGGTTGATCTGTTGATGAGTCTGACTGGTTCATCTTTTCTGAAGATCTGAGCGCTGCTGAGTGCAAAGCCTCTCCTATCTCAAACACCGATGGAAAGGCCTCACATTTCTTGACCAATGACATTTCTTCTTGACGAACACACACTGGCATTCTTTGAGACAAACATGGCCATACTGAACCATACTAACCACTTCGCGGTTTCGCAGCGGGGCTCCAATAGGGACAGGATGGGACAATCGCCTCTATAAGCGTCCCTGGGGCGGTGACTTGCAAAAAGGGTTTGATCTTCTGCAACTGGCTCTTTTGCTGAGTGAGGAGATCTTTGACGTGCTCCTGACACCGGAACCGAAAGAGAAATGCACAAACCCAGCTGTTGATTTTCTGCCTTTTAACCCACACCACACCCTTCTGCTGTTGTCATTGGCTTTGGATCCATCGAATTGATTTGAGCCACGGTCAAAACTTGTTATTACTACTAATCAAGGCTGCGCAAACCCTCCAGATCCAGAAACCGCCTGTGGCCCGGGCCGCAGTCGGTTTTTCCACCCCGTCCACCGCTCCGTCGTCCACCCCGTCCGGCCCCGTCGCGGTCGTCCCGGGCAGTCCTGGGAGCCAGCTCCCCGCCCTTCCGCAGCCTCCGCCGCGAGAGGAGGAGGAGGAGTCCAACCGCGCATGCGCCCCGAGAGGCGATCCGGTGGTACGGAGAGGAGCTCCGCTCCGTGTGGAAAGAAAGGTTGAGGTTGAGATCCTGCTCCTGACAGATAAACATGTAGCATGAACATGTAGCATGCAATTGACTGTATCTATAGGATTCGACAAGCATGTCAAGTGTTTTTGGGTGACAACGTTGAAGGCCGAACAAACTTTGACACCTGCGACAGCTACCACGGTGACAGGCATAGGGAGCATAGGAATAATAAAGACACGCGCCAATACTCAAGGAAGACTATAGTCTGTCCAGTTAGCTGCGTTAGGTGATTCACTCGGCCCAGATCGGGGTCGACTGCAGCATTCTGGCACCTTACAATCGCATCCATCAATCGCTTTTCTCGGCCATGTGCTCGTGCAGAGCCTGTTTTTCGAGCGACAAAAATCACAAGGGGGATGATCTCACAGGTAAGAGTGCCATGGGATCCCTGCAAGGAAGGAAGACCAAAGAGCCATCAATCAAACATAATCATGTACACCTCAACGTACATGGAGGGCATTACTAAACCGAAACCCATTTTGGTCTGGCGTTACGCAAAAGATATGGCCACCGGTTGTACCAAGGCCTTCCATGCTAAGGCAGCCCAGATAGAACTTAGGCTTGGTAAAAAATACCATCTTCGACACGTCAACGTCATCTTGCAATGACACATTTTAACCCCATCCTAGCATATGTCTGTAAGAAAGAGGGATGCCCCTCTTACATCCTGTCATGTTGTTTCCACTCCACATGCGACTCATGTGAAGACAGTCACAGGTGACTTCGGCGCCGCTGTCCACAGGGTTGTCCAGGACAGCGCTACCACATGAGCCGAGCGAACCAAAAGACCAGTCCTACTATGTCCAGTCTCCAAGGTGCTGTGAAGTAACAGGACCTGTCCTCGAAAACACAACGCCATGCTCCCCCCTGCTCCGCTATTCTCCGCCAACGCTCTGCCTCTTTGACCCTGAGTGCCACTCTTTTTCGTGGGTGCACCAGCAAGGCCTCGTGTTGCAGAGGTCAAACATGTCCAATAGGCCGAATTGAAAAAATTGGATTTGGACTATCCATATCTTAACTACTAAGTTAAAGTGGTAAACAAAAATTACAAGAAGCACTGAAGGAGGTCTGGCCTGAAAGACGAAGCTTCAAAAACCCTCGAAGGAACGGAACGAACGGACCAGAACGGACCGGTCGGACCTGACAAAGGAACGGTCATGACCAGAAGTAGATCCAAAAATAGAACTCAGAGCACCTGGACCCTTGGACCCTTCCCAAAAAAAGTGGAACCCGCCTAAGGATGGCCGGGGGTGTCAAATCCCTCTGGTTTTGAGCCGGTTTGGAGCGTCGGCTGTGAAAGAAAAGGGGTGTCTAATGGAAGCCTGCAAGTAGGCTGGGGTACTCCAGCCAGGACACCCATTGGATAGTTGGTATATTTCCTCAGGTCGTTGGTGGAAAGGGAGCGCCCACAAGATATGACAAGATCCTTGCGCGTCTGGTGTGGGAATCATGTTCGTGCACATGAGGCCTTACAGAAAGGATACTAACTCTGGGCAGGACCTCGCCAAACTCCCAACGAACGGGTGCCCCAAGGAAACTGTCTTCGGCCAGGGAGCTCGTCGCGCGGGGTTTTTGCCCCGGCGGGAGGGGGGGGTGTGAGGGGGGGCGCTTTTTATTTGGGTAAGTTTGCCTGCAAAGCTCCCCGCCCCCCCCCCGCCCCGCCGATCCTGCGGGGAAACCCCGCCATTCCCCAGCTGCCACCAGCGATCGCCTCTAGGGCCAGCAGTAAGTCACGGCTGGAACTCGATCCAGCGGCCTCTATCGGGACGTTGAGCCCACCTATAGTCACCACCAAATGAATGTTCGCCTTTGTATGCCGTTGTCTTTAGCAAAAAGCAGGGCGTATTTCTAAATTGGATGCTTGCAGCAAGTAGGCCCGCACCTTACTGAACTTTCCGACTTGACCATGGTCCATGGGTCTTTTCCGGAAAGACTTGTCAGATTCCTTGGAGAGACTGAACTCCTCAATGACAACCCTTCGCTGCATTTACTCCATCGCTATGGAGACCCCCTGCGTTTCCGCTGTATCAGTCAAATGATTCTGCAAGCCTCCGTGGCCAAATCTCCGTGGAGGCCTCGCGGTTCCTGAGGGTCAGGCCATATTCGAAGGGCTGCAAACCTGAAAGTTCAACTCCAGAAATGCAAAGACAGTGGAGCACCTCTAGTTTGAAAAGGAGTTCGCTGGACCCTTCATGACAAAGAGTTGCGTTGCAATGCACGGCCTAAAGCACAAAAATGGATGACCACAGAGTTGACATGACCTTCCTACAAAATATCCCAGCGTGGTGCGACAAAGAGTCTTACCGGCTACAGTCGAATTTGTCATCTTGCTCTTGGATCAGCAAATGCTGTTGGTTCATTTCATCGGCGGCCCAGTTTCTCCGAAAACGATACCAAGAAGCAAACATAAGCAAACAGCATAGTAGGACAGCCGGGCGCAAAACGAACAGACCCGGAGACAGCATGGACAAGTGCAGCAACAACTGCAAACAACAACCAAACCTAGGGCTACGCACCCACGGCGACGCTGTGCAACAAAAAGGCAACAGTCTGTGTTCAGCACTAAGACACCCTCCGTGGCCATTTCAGACCAATATGATCTAGCTCTAATTATGCCCGCAAAATAGCAAGTGGTTGGGGCTTCTGATGCTACTTCCCACTCGCCCCACAAACAATGTGCCACTGTTCGTCAAAGTCACAACAGGGGAAGCGGACTGACTCAAATCATCACCGCCTGGTAGACGGTGTCAGGCCGCGACTGTGTCGGTGTGAAGATGCTAGGGGGCGCCTGCCTGGGCATGCATGTCACTGGTTAGACTGAGTTGGAACCATTCAGTCCTTTGTGCTGAGAAATGAGATGCTCTTCACTGTCTTTGGCAGTTTTCTGGGGGCTTCATCTGACTCAGTGAAAACGGGTCAGACAAGATTTCACAAGATGCGGCATCTGGGGTGACACTGCCAGCTGTTTCATCTTCTGATTCTCCAAACACTGATTCCTCTTTTGCAGTGGATCACTTCAGAATCAATGAGAATCTCTTCAACATCCAGCCCTGAATCCGGAAAAAAGACACTGCTCGCCACAAAGGACATGAGAATAATGTGGTGGTCCTCACAATGTTCCAAATCCATCCCTACTCTTCCAGTCTTTTTTGCCCCCTCATTTGCCGCTGCGACCAATCATTTCAGCGCCTCCGCATCATACCCATGCTCCA